TCCAGCTCTGGAGCCCTCAGCACAAGAAGGACATAGAACAGTTGGAGCAGGTCCAGAGGAGGGCCACAAAAATGATCCGGGGGCTGGAGCACCTCTCCTATGAGGACAGGCTGAGGGAGTTGGGCTTGTTCAGTCTGGAGAAAAGAAGGCTGCGGGGAGACTGGATTGTGGCCTTTCAGTACCTAAAGGGGGCCTGTAGCAAAGATGGGGAAAATCTTTCTAGCAAGGCCTGCTGTGACAGGACAAGGGGTAATGGGTTTAAACTGAAAAAGGGTAGGTTTAGACTGGATATAAGGAAGAAATTCTTTACAATCAGGGTGGTAAAACACTGGAACAGGTTTCCCAGAGAGGTAGTGGAGGCCCCATCCCTGAAAACATTCAAGGCCAGGTTGGACGGGGCTCTGAGCAACCTGATCTAGTTAGCGGTGTCCCTGCTCCCTGCAGGGGGATTGGACTAGATGACCTCTAGGGGTCCCTTCCAACCCAAAACATTCTATGATTCTATGGAAAAAAAAAAATGCCTCAGCCTTGTCTCCTTTGGAAGTTTTGCTAAAAATATGAATGGTAGTATAACAACTCTTCTTCTAGTTTAACTAGATAACACTAGTAAAGTTGCATGTCTTCATAAACATACTGGTCATTCAGGGCATGAACTAGACATAAGATGTGGAGTTGGAAATAAATCCACAGGGGCATTTTGCTGAAGATAATGACTCTCCCAGGTTCTATACTAACAATATACCATCAATCAACTGATGTTATATACATTATTCTGAGACTCATTCTTGAAAATAAGTTTGAAAACATACCAGAAAGAATTATGAAAAAAGAAATTGCCGAGGGGATACCATTATGCCATTGACTAACAAAGACAGAAAATTCATGCCTTAATGACAACCACATGTTAAGATGTTTATTGGTGCATTACTTTGTTTTGATTAGTGATCATTTAAGCTGCAGGTGCTTTTAAATCACGGTATTCCATTGCTCTTGGGTAGCTAGCTGGCCATCAGAAATTGTGATTTGTAGAATTGGTTTGGAATCCATTCTTGCTTTCTAAAAAAGGAGAAAAAAAAGTAAAGAAGTGATAGAAGATAGTAGCTAGGACATACATGTTGGTCAAGGTTTAAGTGAAACAGTACTCTCATGATTTCACTGTCTCTCAAATATGACTGTAACGTAAAACAATTCTAATGAAGAATGAATCAAAACACATACTGTGATTTTCAGAAGACTGTATCTGACTTCTGCTGGAAGAGTGGGTATGCAACATGTCTGATATATCAGGAGCCAAAGTTAGGTTAAAATTTTTAAAAGAGCTGCTATACCAGAGAGCACAGATCTGAATATATATATGTCATGAATCATTGTTGTATTTGCTCTCATAGCTAAATAGAAACACGTCAATGACATAGTGCAGGAATAAAATTAAGCTGCTTATGAGATTTTTTTAAAATAAGACCAAATTAATTGGATCAAGGAAAGCTTAACTTGGTACCCTGTTTTTAACAAGAGGGTAATGTCTAGGAGAAGGGAAACACATAGAAATACTTCCACAAAATACTTTCCCATCCTGCCAAAATTGATGCCTCAGAGACTTCCTGAGTGAGCATGATTATCTACAAGTTTGAGAACCTTCCATTAATTTGTGTTGAGTTTTTTTAAATGCAGATTTACTTTTGGTATGCCCACTGTGTGAAGGATCAGTCTTCAGTCTGTTTTGAATCTGCCACTTGCTAGTTTAATTTAATTTCCTCTACTTCTTATACTTGTCTTCCTCAGATTACTCTTGATTTTCCAGCTCTGTATCATATTCTTCTCTCAAATTCTCTCTTCCATCTGTGGAATAACTTATGGGATAAATAGCTTTGATAGCCTGGAGATGCGGTGCTGTAGGAAGCAGTTTGTAATTCTCTGATGTAGGGCTAGATGGCCCATGAGTGCTGTTATATCTTGCTGGCTGTGCTTTCTACAGGGTGCTTCACAAGTAGAATATTAGATGTAGCTGCACTCTGCTGAAGGTGAGAGAGGGCAGGCATAGAAGAAATCTTCTGATACATATTTTTGGTGCAGATAGAGGTCATGCTGTGAGACCTACCATCAGGGTGTTTCAGTGGGGAAACATTCAAAATCCTTTCCCTGTCTTGCCACCTCTTTTCTTCTTGTGGCCTCCCAGAAGAGAAGGAACTTACAGTAACATGTTAAGCATAAAACCCAAACACTTCCCCCCGGGCCTGAAAACTCTTACTGTCACACCCAGGTGGCATGCAAGCTACTTGTTCTCAGTAGGTAAAGAAGGTTGAGACCACCTTGCCATTTTATGGACCAGAGCATTCATCCACAAAACCCTGCTTATTTTTTTGTTTTGCTTTGCAGTATTAGATTAAAGATAAAAAACACCTGACAAAACCATGTAGCTAAACATTAAACTGTTTTTTTTCCAAGCTAAGTTTCAAAACTGTTATAACAGTAGCTTTGTCAGATTTAAGCATTCTACTTACCAAGTAATACAATTCAGACTCCCAAACTGTCTTTGTATTCTGGAGATTCTGACTAGAAATGAAATCTGGATTTTAAGAGCTGAATTTTTAGTCAGTTCTTATCCAGAACTCTGTTTTACTCTTGAAGTTCTGTGATATAACATTACTTGTCAGACATTCAAGACAAGGGGTAATGGTTTTAAACTAAACCAGGGTAGGTTTAGACTAGATATAAGGAAGAAGTTCTTTACAATGAGGGTGGTGAAACACTGGAACAGGTTGCCCAGAGAGGTGGTGGAGGCCCCATCCCTGGAAACATTCAAGACCAGGTTGGACGGGGCTCTGAGCAGCCTGATTTAGTTAGCGGTGTCCCTGCTTCTGCAGGGGGTTGGACTAGATGACCTCTAGGGGTCCCTTCCAACCCAAAACATTCTATGATTCTATGATTCAAATACAATTCTAAACTTTTAGAAATTTGAGCCACAAGGTAGCTGTTTTTAAAAGCTATATGAAGTCACAGATTTAAATGAAACATGCAAGTGGACTTAACCCACCACTTCTTCAACCGTGTCACTGAAATGCCCCAAATATTGGCTGACCATTTATTCTAAACAGCAATAACACATTAGTACTTATAGACGCTGCTGACCTGGTTTTGAGCAGCATAACTATTTTGCTTCTTCACAGGGCCGTTTTTCAATGCTTTCTCCCTGGCATGGTCTGCCACCAGGTTCTGGCGTAGGATTATTACATTGGCGAGTTCGAGTGCTTTCTCCATTGATGCAGGTGGACCAGGCACTCCAACAGCTCCAGCCTCCATCAGTGACAACTAGTATTAAGACACCATACTAGAATTAGTCCATCATCTCTCTGTCTTCTGTGCAATGACAGAAAGATTAATTAGAGCTTTTTACCTGGTGCATTTGGGGGTGGACAAGGTAGGCTATGATTCAATTCTTACGGTGACTCTGCAGATCATTGCACCCTCTAGCATATGTTCCATAGCACAGATTTGGCTTTTGAAAATGCCCTTGTCAGTGGCACTGCTTAAGAGTCCAGAGGTTTTAACATTTTTGTCACCCTGGGAAGCTGTCTGAATATTAAGTTCTAAGGCCCATTTTGGGCACCTGTACTTCAAAAAATTGACCACAGGGAATGAATTTACTGCACAATAAATTTTTTGCATCATCAGTCGTGGAATGGCATTCATGTCCCTCTTCCCCTTTGTGGACCAATATAATACTAAACTAGCACAGTAGTTATGAAATGTGATCATGTGTTAGCAAACAGAATGCTTTTGCAGGAAACTGAAAACAAAATAGCTTACGTGGTGAGATTGCTTTTGCCTGAAATCAGCTTACCATTACTGCACCATTCTTCAGTAATGCTCCTGTTTACTTAAATGAACTTGGGTTATCATTCCAAGGCACAATATATGTGCGACAATGAGCCCTAATTTATATGGAAAGAACCTGGCAAATTACACTAAATTCCACACCATATAGCCCTGAGATTTGACAGCAGTGGGTTTAGGGTGGTTCTATGATATCCTTCTGTCCTTATGAAGGCTCATTTTGTCAGGATATTGTTCACAATAACAAATGTGCTAATTTTAGTCTGTCTGGAGTATTTACTAACCTTTAATTAATGCAGATTTGGGAATCTGACAAGCAATTCCCTTAAAGTAGCTTGAGCACATGCATGTACATGCTCCATCTACCAGCACAAGTGTGCCTCCATTTTTGCAGGGTTCACATTTGCACACACTGTATTCGTCAATGTAGTCTTCAATTGCTCTTTCCAAATTTTGTTTCTTTAAATATGCATTTCTCATCTTAACTGGAACAAGTGTATGTATTGGAGAAGGCTGTAGAAGAAAAAAGCCCATGCATAACAGACTATTCCAAAGTTCTGAATCCTTTTGATATACCGATCACTAGATTAAGTATCTGAAGACACTGTCAAGATGAACAAAATACCTGAAAGTTCACGATAAACTTGGAGTCTCACCTCCATCTTAGGACAAAAGCTTTCAAACTGTAAGAGCTTACCCGTTGCTGTATCACTACTGGAGCATCAACCAAAGACTTAGCCCACTGTACGTAATCCTCTACATCAACCATTTTGGATCCACTCAGTAAAATTTCTTTTATTTTAACAGAAAAGTCAATCTTCCCTCCATCAACTAAGGAAATGACATCATCAATGACAGCATCATCCTGAAGTCTTGCTGCAGAAAGAAAGAAAAAAGAGAATGAAGAAAGTGTAATGCCCATGCCTTTTGAAGAACAGTTGTCCTTTTAGTGCAACCAGGCCATCGCTGTAAAATGACTGTAGAGAGATGACCTCTTCACTCACTAGTTGTGGTGCAATTCAATCTTTCTTTGCTCATACCTCTTATATGGGAGGAAATCTTCTAATTTGCAATTAAATTTGAAAACCCTGTATCTGAAAGGAAAAGAGGGGGTAGGGCAAAATGAGAGACATTATGGAGATCATAGCCATTTGAAAATAAGCCAAAGATAATATGACTAATGCTACTGTATCACCTGAGCTCAACCAGAAAAGGGCACGAATTGCAATAGTAGGAGCTTCTGCTTCATAACTAAAACACAAGAACAGAGCATAAAAATAATTGCCTCTTCTGTGGCCAGCAGTAAATCTCCTTGCCTTTTTCAATTTTTAGATCATGTGATAAAAGACTCAACTCTAGACACACAAAGAAGCAGAGAGGAATAATGACAGGCCGGGGAACACAAGTACTGATCAGAGAAAGGGAGCCCTTGCCAAAGGCAGCAGGGGCCAAACCCCTCCCAGGCCTGGCCCAGCAGAGCTATTAGCCCTACAGGATGGGTCTGAAGATGAGTCAACAGCAAGATGAGTCAATGGAAAGATTCTCTGGGTGCAAAAAAAGGCATTTTGGATAGAGTGAGACAACTGCAGCAGGTGGCTATTGGAGGGATTGCACACGCTTAAATACTTAGAGTATATTTAGGGAAGTGCATTGAAGAGGTAAGAGGGGATCAAGGTGGCTTTGGGAGGAACAGCATGGGAAAATAGAGGGATAAAGGCAAAAAAGGGACTGATTGCATATAGAAAGGTGGCTGTTCAGTGAGCTTGTCTGCCATGTACTGTCCTTGACCTTTGCAGTTTGTCCTGGTTTACCTCTTCATTCCATTTCTAACTGTTTTCCTGGGTGAGAGAACTCTACTCTGCATGCACGCGTGTGTATGTAGATCTGTGTGCCAGCAACTAGAGCTGGATGTGGGGCTAATAGGGACCTGGTGTTTGTGGTGCCAATAACTGGAGCGAGTGAGAATACATATGTCAGTGTGTGATCACTAGGAAATAGCAAGCCAGACTAGCAGGTGAATAGGGTAGGTGTCTTGGGAGCCAAGAATTAAAGTGGCTGTTAGTCTGGCCTAGATATGTACGTGTCTCTAGAGTGAGACAACTGCAGCAGGTGGCTATTGGAGTGACCAGGGGTTCTATGTCAAATACTGGAGAGCCCCTAAGGTCCTGGGGTTGACTGAGACCTGTTTGCATGTGAGTGTGTGTCTGTGTGAGTTAACTGAAGAAAAGAGGATCCAAGGGCCAACTGCTAGGTAAAATGAGCACCTAAGGCCTAATTACTGGACGCATCCATGGTTTGGGGGGGGAGGGGAGGCGGGGAGGGGAAGGGAGTCTGTACCAGCAGTGGGCGTGGAGCTGTGGGCCTTGTGTTGTATATCCAGGTGCCAGCAACATGGGAGAGTAAGGATCCTGTTGTTGCTTCAGTTGGATGTCTAAGGTCAGCTGCTGGAGGGATCTGTATTGCCTATATATGTATATTGATGAGGGGCTGAAACACCTGAGAGTTGTGCTGCCTGGGCAGAACATCTGCTCTAGATAGCCATGCTTGAGCAGGGCAGTTGGACAAGAGGGCCCCCAGAGGACCCTTCCAACCTCAACATTCTGCAATTCTGTGATATTTCCCACTGACAGACTTTCACTCTGATGAGAAGGAGAGGAGAGCAGGAAGAAGCCATTGGTGCTGTTTGTGTTGTGCTTCTGTCTGTGTTGATTTGTGTGACCAGAAATGTGTGTATGTATGTATGTGTTATAGAAGCGTGGTTTTGTGCGTGCCTACTGGGAACAAATGCTCAGCCTGGCTTGACCTTGGAGCATGGAAGTATGGCAGCCTCACCTCTACTAGTCTACCAGATTTGACTTTTCCCTAACAGCAATAACTATATTGATTATAAAAGAGGAAGCAATTGGCATCATCTTTCCTTAAGCACAAGGTATAATTAAAATAAGGGTATACTTACAGCCGTCCTTTACTTTAACCTTTTTACATTTACCACCATCAAAATCAACACTGGCTCCTAAACCTTTATATGCAATATTGGCATCTAAGTGATAGCCGAGGCATTTTTTCACGTCTTCTATAGTGAGACCTGGAAGTGGAAATAATTAGGTAATTAGAGGGATTGAATGACCATAAATAGTGATATTATTATTCTTGGAGAATAAATCTTAGGGCTATTGGAAATGTTTATGTCTTTCTTTTTTCCCATTTATCTTCTGCTGTTTCCTTTTCCATGAAATGAATGTGAGGATGATTGTGTTTGAAGTGTCTGCACAGAAGCAGGTGCGACCTACAGTCATTAGGAAAATACTAAAGCCCTCCAAAAACTGATTTCTGTTTTCCTTGATCTAGCTGAAAACAGATGTACCTCAAGGGATGACTCTTTCCATGTATTCTGTTGGAATATTCTCTTTCTCAGTTGCTTATCATTTGCTCTTTCTATGTGCTAAATTATTCAATCCTCCCAGTCTCTGTCTCCCAACCTAAATCACATTTCTCCACTCCTTTTCCTCACAAAGTTAATTAACGCCACTAATCTCTTACAAGTACTCTATTCCCATAAGTTCCAATCCTCCTCTAACTACTACCTCCAAAACCTCCTTTCTGTTTATTAAACTCAAACATATAATCTGGAACCTCACTTTTGTGTTCAGGAAGAATTTTACTTATGATTTGTACTTAAAAAAAAAAAAAAATCCAGCACCACAATCTCCAGGTGCTGAACAGAGTAATACTGGGGCAAGTAAGTGACATCTTTGCCCCATGTTGCTTTGCATAGTCTGAACATCTGATAGTAATATTGTTGATGGTGCTGCATGCAACAGGTACTTATTTCTGCTCTCCAAAATCAGCACGAAACCTGCATTTTCTAACTTTATTCCAGAATGATCACAAAACCACATATATCTGAGCCGCACATGAGGGGGAATTAAATTACTACTTTCTTATCTTAAACAGGGCAAGGAAAATTCCAGTGTGAATGTTAAAAATCTATAGAAACAGTTTCAACACACTCAAGCGCACCGTGTGATTTCTAGGAAGTCCTTCAATTTATTCCTTATTTTTTGCTACCACCATACTCTTAGAGTGATTATACCACAAGAAGGTACCAACTAGCAAATTGCATTTAAGGTTTAGTCAGATTTTCTAGGCATTGGGGATTTCTTGTGAATCAGGTCACACAAATTAGTATTGCTAATATTTTGAAGAGGTTTGTTTAAGATTTTTTTTCTCAGTTACAGACTTAAAATACAGACTTAAGATAATTCTGGAAGTTGCAAAGACAGACTTTCATCTGTATTGAACTCGTGTAATTCTGTAACTTCACTGGCGTGCCACAAGCAGCACACACTGAACTGTGCTGTTCTCAGTAGTGCTCGATATACACAAATCTATCCTCATACACCTCTTCGCATGACTGGAGGCTTGGTGATAATCTGCATAGCACAGCAAGGCCAACAGAATGCATACCTATTTGAGACATAGCGTAGCTATCCAGCACGTACACAAGTTCATATTTTCCTCCAACGTTTCCAGAGACCGCATAGTGAGTTCCATAATCTTCTAGGAATTTAAAATATTCTCCCTTATCATATTCAGTAGGCAGAAAGTTTAGATCATCAAGGAAACTATCTGTGAGACGGACATCACGACTCCGCATTTGGAATCTTCCCAGCTGAATCTTTCCTTTTACATGCAGAAAGGTTTGGTTCTGAATGCAGGGAGAAGAAAGCAGATGAGGGTGCCATTCTGGTATGCAGCACAGCAGGAAAATCTGTTCTATTTTACTTATAAAGAAACTGCAGCAGTTTTAAACATGGTATTCAATCTAGTGTTTTGGAACAGGGACAAACTTGCTTAATTCAAATTAAAAGTTCTTCAATTTAAACTGAGGAAGCAATAAGAGATTTAGATAATTTCAGTTCTTCCAGTTTTGCAGAACTCCCCCCTTACTAATTTCAGCAAGCCCTTTGCGATATATTTGTCAACAAGGTCTTCTCTTTAAGTATAATATCTACTGAAAGTGCCCTTCTGACTTTCATAACATTGAAAAGTAATTCCATATGGCTCGCCAGATAACAGAAGCTGCCCACTGAGGTCAGCTGGAGTTTTGTCTTTGTTTATAGTCAGAGCAGAACTAAGTTCTCTCTTTTTTTGGATCACTTCTCTGTTATTCTCAGACTGTCAGAAGGAAGGACACAGCTCCAATTAAAAACCCAAACCCCCAAAGTAACGTCATAAAATGACAATTAATCGTGAAAAAATAATTTTGAGACATTTGACCCATACATACATTCTAACTCTAGGTTTAGTGACTGATATTTTCATAAATTACACTGCAGATGGTTTTATGTCATAATCTAGAATAGGACCTAGCTGTTCCCCATAACACATGACATCTTGTGAAATAGTTGCACTTAAGACTCTAAGCAAACACATGCCTTCCAAAACCCCATTAATATCTGCAGTACTTATGTGTTTCCCTTAACAGTAGTGCCTAAGAGGTACATAAAAGGGATTTAGCAACTGACCATCGCATTAGCTGGTACCATTTAAAGGATCTGAAATTGCTGACTCAGATGCTGCTTAGGACTGGCAGAAATCTTCAGGCATCTAAATCTCTGTGAGGAAATTTTTATAGGTGCAAATATTCCTGCCACCCAGCATGTAAAAAATCCCTTACTCTCCTGGTGTCCCCAGGCTGCTCCTGGCTTTAACTTGCTGGTGAGCCCTGGAGAGTTCTAGACTAGGGATTGCCACTCCACTAACCTGCAACACGACTAATTTTCTGAACTGATCTCCAAGCAAGAACTGGAGGCCAAAACTCCTTTCACAAACCACTAGACTATGAGCAGCCTGTAATGTACCCTGAATTACAGAACTTGATCATTTGCATGTGTGGCGATGAACGCTTTGAGATTTAAATGGTTCGTTCCTGTACTAAGAAAACTCAATACAAAGTCAGTGCTCTATGTCAGCTTCTCTTTATAGTACAGACCTTTCTCTTCAGCATTATTTTAATTAATCAGTTATAAAAGTTATCTGAGTTTTTCCTTTTGTCCATTTGATCTCCAGAGCTCTGAAGGCTCCTAAATGACAAGGCTGACAAGAAACTGGAAAGATTTAATTAGTTGAGGCAGATATATTCTTCCTTGCATGTGTTGCATTTCAGCACTATAGAGTTGATGTACCTTGTACATCATAGCATGTTACGATCACGGACTTTGGTGTATATGGTATGAAAGGGTATATGACCTGGCTGGTTAATTCCACTAGCACCCAGCTGCTGGATTAGGCCATAGAGTCTAGCATGTCTAGTATCACTTTTTGTGGTCTCTCTCTCTTTGACCTCACTAGATGTTAAGGTTACTTCTTACTAGTAAATAAAATGGGATAGGGCCTTTGTCTCAAAGGGCAGGTAGAGTGTTATGGCTTGTGTGCATTCCCCAAATAGGCTTGCTTTCTCCAGACTGCCTACTGGGAACATTCCCCATTCCCTTCCAACATGCTGCAGGGGACCAGAGGATGGGCATTGCTTATGAGAGCACAAGAGCTGGCACAGACCAAAATCATGGCAGTGTGCTAGTAAAACTATGGATTATCGTGTGCAAATGCTAATGCCCATGCCTCTTAATCCAGGCTAGTTTATTAGTATAGACATACCTGAATGGCTGAGATCTGACCTTTCCGTCATTGTTCTACATGTTTATTTTGTGTTTTCCAAGTGTAGGCCTACTCAGTGGCAATTTTTATCCCAGGACTGGACCTAATTTGCCCACACTGCACTAGATCACAACTGCTCTCTAATCCAGATGAAATCAGAGATCTTTGTCCCTTTCTAACATCAAGTCCCTGCTGAAGATAAGGGTGGTTGCTAATCAAGGGTAAACAGTGGCAAAAGGAAGCTACATTTTGTCACCCTTTGGCTACATCTGAAATCTTAACCCTAGTATTGCCAGTATCTCATTTTTGTGAATAAATGACAGAAAAGCAGCAGGCAACTAGAGTAATTAGAAGGATTAATATTGCATTATTCTACCACTGTGTAAATTTAGCTATTTGTAAAATAGTTACATTAAACCCTTTAGCTTGATTAAACTTACCCGTTCTGTGGAGCTTTCCAGGAAAGAATGTAAACTTGAATTCTTGCTATAGTGAAAATTGAAATTTCCTCCTAAACTAAATTTCTTACTTCCTTCAGTAGGTGTGTATTTCAGAGACAAGCCAATACTGAAGTGGTTTTGGTTTTCTATGTAAACTTCTCGCAACAGTCTTACACGATCATGGTAGAATATAGATGTGAAGGTTTTGTCTGCTTTTGTCTTAGAAAAGATAATGAAAAGGTTGTATGAAGAAAACAGAACAGGCGATAATAGAAAAATCTATGTAGCACTTTGAAGTTGTATGTTTTACATAGCTTAGCAATACATTTTCTTACAGCTCTTTTTTCTTTTAAAAGAAAATAAATGGAAATACCACCCCCTCTACAAAGCACCTCATCTGGATCCGCTCAGTAGTTCAAAACTAAACAGAAAGCTTCAGTGACAATATTTCAGTGAGTGTTACATCTCAGCATGCAACACTATCAAAGTAATTTTATGTGTGTCAGCAGTTCCTTTACGTGTAAGGAGCAGTAGTCTCCAGCTTCTTCCTAGCACATAGACAAGATTTGCTAATAGGTCTTGATATCTGAAATTAATCAGAATTATGACTTTGCTTTCTTTCCTGATAGCAGACAATAGCTAATTCAGAATACCTATTTCAGTATTGTTTATTTTTCTATACTTTAGCAGAACATAGTTTTAGTACCTGAAAAGGGTTATGCATCAAAATCAAATAAAACCAATGATCTCTGGGTCAGACTTACTTATTTTGGGCAGGATCTGATTTAAACTGTCATTCTATGAAGTTCTTACTTACATTGACAGGCAAAGCATCTGGCAAGCAAAATAGTGCTTTGATTTCTGAAACGCACCTGACATTGATGTTTCTAAGATCATCAACATTTTTGGTGTTCAAACCTCCCTGGAAGTCATAGTCTGAATCTCAAAAGCCTATTATATTTTTTTTTCAGTAGGACAAAGTCATCACTGATTAGAAAACCCAAGCAGGACCAGAGTATCATAATATTATTCATGCCTTTTTATCAGTGTTTTTTTGTGTGTCCTTGAAAAAGTAGCTTGATTGCTGCTCTACCCGATAAAGTTAGGTATATTCTTTTCTGTACGTCTCCCGTTCATCTCATCTGCTCATATTGTAAACATTCCAGAAAGATAGTTTCATTTACTGGGCACAGGAGCAGCAAAGAACGTGGGAATTTATCTGGTGCAACTGAGCTTAACTGCTAAAACATCCATAACATAACCTGTTTCCCTCTGGACTTTCTCAAAACCTTGATGCTAAAAAGCTGCTGCTGCCTGACTCAAGAGACATGCTGAGTGTTCCAAGAGGGTGTCAGGATTCTTCATTTAGTTAAACACATCCTAGTTTGCACAGAAGTACTTAGACTTACATCATAAATGAGAACACCCACATTCCATGGCTTGCGGTAGTATGTCCCTGTGTTTCCATCACGCACCCTTTCACAGAGACCATTGAAAAAGTCATTGTCAAATGGGCTAGCCATTGGCTGCATCCCTAAAACATTGATTCTACAAGAGAAATACAGGAGAAGTTATGGTTCAAAAAAGGAGGTGTCAGCACCATAGCCTGTAGACAATGTTATTACGGCTGGAAAAGTCAGATTCTGTAAGAGATGGAGACTGTAGCTGTGGAACTGAATCTTGCTTCATCTGTGGCAGCTTGCCTCATCTCTTGTGGTCCTCCCATCTGTGTAATGGAGATAATGATACATCTTTTGTAAAGCGCTTTCAGGACCATATATGAGAAATAAACAAATAAAAGGTATTAAACATCGAACACCGTGAGAACCCTAGGAATAAAAGGAAGCAAAACCCATTTATTCTTGGCCAAAGTATTTGTGAGGAAGCATTCGTTATAGGTTTAAAAGGGACATCTCAATAGCTTTTTTTAAGCTGGTTTTTTTTTTTTTTTTCTATAACTTATAGTAGTTTTTTTGCTGGTAGGAAATTCGGTATCAAATGTGTACAAGATTCATCAAATCTGTAGAAGGAACATACATTGTTCCAACTCCTAGCATTGTCTTTTCTCCCAGGGTGTGACTTGGTGGAGTAATAGAATTCCCTGGAGTGGAGGAGAGGAAATCTGAATCACTACAAATCCAGAGAAGTGGGCATATTGGCTGTATAGCTCTATGCATCCACATACCAATGTACAAGAGACACTTGCAAAAATAATCCTCCTTCTTGGAGGATACTATACTGAGGGTTTTTGCCTTTCTATGTCTGTTTCATAGATTTGAATCTTTTAGGCATTTCCAATATTTATGTCTGATACATGTCCGTATACTTATCTGAGTGTAGAAAGCGGTTATCAATTCATCAAATCACATTCCTGTACAATATCACTACAGCACATCTATACAACATTTTCTCATGGAATATTTTAGTAATGGATTATAGTAGAAATGATAAAGAAGCTATTTCTAAAAATGCCTAAGCACCTGGCTTACTTCGCCATGCCACAAGGGCAGCATTTTTGCTTTTGCGCAGTAACACTGTTATAAAATTTAAATGAAAAAGTTGCATCCTTTTCTTTTAAACACAAGGTGGTGCTGTAGTATACTTTTATGTTCATTTCAGTTTAGATAGCTGCCTTCTAACTTGATTTGTAGATAAACAAGATGTTTCACTTTCTTTTTGTTTGAAAAGAAAGAAATCCAATAGGGTGTGAGAATAGAAAGTTTAATTTTCAACTTAAATTATTGAGGAAAACTTCTGTAAACAACGAAGATCTGGGAGGTGGAGAATGCAATACTGGAAAAATGCTGCAGGCAGAGGGTTGTTGCAGTAAGGCATCCCATTGTATAAATAGTCATACAATCATTTTCTCCCTTTTAGACATGCATGTTAGTAAAGTAATTAGGAATAACTGAATCTTTATGAAATGTCACTTGAAACATATCTATTTATCTGTAAGCTTTACATTTAAATAATAAGTGTTGTAAGTATATTCATGTCACTTCTATACATGATTCTGTGTATTGACTTAATGATTGATTTATACTGTCTAGGTAAATATTTTATCCTCCCCAAATATACAAAATAAAACAGTAGTTAATTGTTCTTCCAAAAGCTACACAGCAGTTCTGAATAAAAATGTAAACATGATTCAGATTTCACTTTTGGGAATGTCAGTGTGCCTCAGTGTTTTCAGCTGGCTTTGTAGACAGTCTTAGACTCTTCACAAGGCCCCGTACTACCTTTTCCTTCATTACATACCCTTGCCCTGCGGTCCTGCCAACTTCAGATACATCAATATCATGGTTACGGCATGGTGATCGTGGGTCAGATTCACAGTTATCTTCATCAGAAAAGTCTCCACAGTCATTATCTGCATTGCACACAAGTTGTTGCTTTATACATCGACCTAATCAAAGAACAAAACACTGAATGAATGCAATTTTTTTCCAAGATGGACTTTAAATGACAGACCCAGCTACTCTTTATTGAGATCTTCCTCTTCATATATTCCTATTATTGTCATGAGGAATTAAAATCCTACACCCTGCCTCCTTCAAATTAAAGAAACCCCAACCCATACTACTATATTTAATTATAGGTTTACTAGGATGGCTAAGAAAATAAGTGACAGGACAACTGCTGTCATTTGCAAAAAGTTGTTACTTCCAGTGATTGTTTCTCTATTAATCTTTGCTTATTAGGGTTTTTTTTTTTAAAAAAAATTGTATTAAGAGAACACGGGAAAACATTAATTCAATACCAAAAAAGAATTATTTCTAAATTGTTTAAATTTTTGCTATTTGGACAATATTTTTTGGATACTAGTGTCCAAAATATAGGGATTTGTGTTCTATGGCTATAGTAAAGTAGTAATTCTCCTGAGATTGTGTACCACAGGTTTTACAAAGACTGATTTTTTTTCTACAGGATTTAAATATTTGGGGTCAATTTAGCCTTAGCATAATAAAACACTGGTAGATATCAACTGCATCACCTGTAAGTGACATACAATGGCTGTGAACTAGTAGTTAAACACATACTTTCTAATTTTTCTTTCTATTCTTGCACTTCACAGTATTTTAGAGAAAGACAACACTGACAACATCACTTACCGTCTTTCCATTTCTGTTTTGACTAGTTTTATTACCATTAACGTTTCCTATTTTCTTTTGATTTATGGTGAATCTTGAACATTACATTCATTCATATGTCCTGTGTGTATCACTTTACAAATTTACGTCTCACTTTGGATCTAGAGGCATTCTGATCTCCAGCTAGCATATATCATACCACTTTGGTCAGTAAATCTCCCTATCGTTTTTGTGTAAAATTCTTTCAGTCCCAGTTTTTCCCAATGATTTTTCACAGAACACAGTGATTTTGTAGCAGGTGGAGCAATTATGCTAGAAGAAAGGGCACTTATAGTATGGTCAGCTTTTAACTGTGGAGTAAAAATTACAGAAGAATTTAAACTAGACCCAGATTATAATGGGAGATGAGAGGAATGTACCCCTTCTTAAGCATTGTTCACGCTGTGGTTTTGGCACTGTGGCTTTGCAACCCACCTGTCTGCACACTGGGGACTCTGTTTAAACCCTAACAATAAGGCACTGCTTCAGGAAAACATTCCCAACTAGAAAAGCACTGAAGCATCTCTCTCTTTTTGTGTATATATTTTGCCTTCAATGGAAACTGGTTTAATTTCTTCACAAAAATAAATAAAATGTGGTTTCCTGAGTTATCGCGTAACTTGCTATGGCACAAACCCAAACCTACCAGAACTGCATTGAAAGTCAGTGCCACAGTCTGGTTCTGGTTCTTCAGGACAAACTTGGCTGGTTTTACAGCTTTGTGCATCTCCTAAGTTCTCCAGGCATGGTGTTCCACCAAACTGCCCAAATCTTTCAATACGTCTAGAGCGAAACTTGAAGGATAAATAACACAGTTAACATTGCTGAGAGAGAAAAGAGAACTACCACAAATGAAAGATTTCCAGCTGAATTTACAATTTTTCAAAATGAAGTATCTTTGGTGAAATTTTTGGTTAAAATCCATAGGCACAGCTCATGGTATAAAAAAACTGTACAGGAATATTGAATTAATAATAATGTCATAGCAAGCATGTAGAGATGCTTTCCCCCCCCTAATTTATTTCACTATTTTCATTATTTTCAATTCGAGGAGGAAATGCATGATATATATTTTGTATGCTTTTAAGTTTTAATTTTTTTTGAAGTCTCATAAGAACTCCACTAAGAAAATAAAAATCTACTTTCAACAAAATATTGTTTTTCATTCAAAAAGGGAAAGATGTATTGAACAGTAACATGGGCAAAATAGATAATTTCTATCGACAAAACATTTTGAATGAGAACACTTGACCAGTTTTGTGCATCTGGATGTTGTCTTCTCTTATGGCTTCAGATCTGAAATGATTGTGGGTTTCATCAAATCATGAACATGCAATATTAAGAGCTGCAATCTGATATTTTCCCATAACCAAAAGGTAGTCAGATAAGGTCCCTTTGGTTGTGGCTTTGGAACAAAGACTTCCAACTATCGCTTACCTTTTGATAGGTGCATGGGTCACAGGGCCCCCACGTGCTCCAGCTGCTCAGCTTACAATCTATTGGAGATGGAGCATTCAGTTCTCTTGTTCCCCTGTGGAATGATTTTTCTGAAGAGCTGTCAAACAAAACATTCCAGTACAGTCCCAGGCAGTACACTAAAATCACATGTGAGCTTGTATTTAAACCATAGACCAATATTTTAGAAGCATCTTCAAGCTGTTTTCTGCTTCACTTTCATAGCAGCACTTGGTCTTTAAATGTATAAACAGCTGCCTAATCTTAAATTCTTCAGTGGTTTAAAATTACATTAAAAAAACTTTGAAGACTTAGTAAACCAGCTCTTTTCCCCCTTTTTAGACCTTTGTGCATACTCATGCTCTTCTAGTAGGTCACATTATTGAAGGGAATCAAACAATAATACAGAGAGAACATCTGCAGTTCCCCGGTTCAGACAGTGGCTGTGCTCCCCGTACTTAAAGCTGAAGACAAAGGCACAGCAGCACATCTCAAATAGACATAGCACTTCAACACAAATCCTTGCAAGTTTTTAGCTCATTAACTTTGAAGGGGTTGCCCTTAAGCCTTGATAAAAGTTTAAATGCTTTCCTGAATTGAAAGAAGGCTCATAAATAAAGGTATTATTTGCTAAAAGGCTAACTTACATAGTTGGGAAAACCAGACAAGTGTTTAGTTATTTAAGTATTCTTCAGCTTGCCATGTTGAATACTTTGCTAGTTAGGAATGTATTTTATAAAGTGAGTCTTCATTTTGGTTCCCAGTTTTAAATACCATGAAATTCCTGGCTCTCGGTAAGTGAAAGGCCATCACTTTACAGAAACTGAGTTTCTTTAAAGCACCCACAGTTAGACACTAAAAGCTGATGCACTGTAGGATGACTTGTTCATTTTAAAAACCAGTAGTTTACTGGTGACCTTATCTTCACAGGTAACAATGCTGGAAAGCAGAGGAATGGAGGAACACCCAAGTCTAACTTGCCTGATTTGCTCTCTGCAATTTATTCCCATTTGGCCTTACGTGCTGAATATTCATCCACTGTGAAGCAATTCTCTCTCTGCACCTCTCCAGCTTAATGCTATTGCCTCTGCTCTACAATGGGACCTTCTTTGCTGAGCCCAGCTGGTTGGCAGATCTGCAGCTCCCGCAGTGTGATGTATGGGCTTTCGTTGCAGGCAGGGCCTTGCCCTCCACTCTTTGACCCCTTCCCTCATACAAGTATGTCAGGAGTCCAAGCAAATATAACCTGATTCCACAAGATTGAGAAATCTGAAGTTTGGACTAGGAAGATATACCAGTTGGTTCAGCTTTCTGGTGCCATCTATTGTATGTTCAGATTACATACGTAGTAAGTTATTGAGACACTAAATCAATCTCTGTCCCTTTCCAGCTATTGAATCTTAAACAGCTCGGGGATCACAGGGTTGTTGTGAAACCTTTTTATACACTCAGCTGACCCTGACTGGTTCTGATGCCTCAGACTTTCTGCTGTCAAACACACCAGCAGTAAACACGCACCACAGCTGCTGCTGGAAGTATCTGTATCACGCACTCCCTCTGTCTTGCCTGCTGCTCCTAAACAACTCTCTTCTCAGAATTCTCCTGACCTCAACCTAGGGCCTGCAGTAAATGCAGTAAAACCTTGGCTGACAATGTTGCTTTCAGCTGGTGGGATTCTGAAAAAAAGGAAACCACAAAAAGCACAAATATGGCCAATATCTACGGACAGCAGAAATGAGATAAAGAATTAAGAACTCTCTCCATACAATAGGGACCTCCCAAACCCTTATCTGGTAGGGAAGTGTGAAGCTTTACTGAGTGCCTGGCACCACGAATTGGGGTACCTGACAGAGAATGCAGATCCAACCTTGTGAAAAGTCCATTTTACACAAAATTCCCTTTCACAAATTCTCTGGTGGACTCTGAGCACCTAAATCAATAACCCACTGCTTGGCGCTGAAAGTGCTAGGAGCTTGGGAGATGGCATTGGATAACTGCCTTGTTCTTACACTTCTCCCTGAGCATCCTTTAATGATCACTATCAGGAATAGAATACTGTATCAGCTGTCTCTTTGCTCTGACCCAGAAAGACTGTAATTATATTGATCATGGTACTTTTAATTTGAGCCTTCTACTTTCATATGCACACTTAGGGGCCAGCTTGCTTTCTCCAGTGCTGTTGATGTCTACAGATCCCAAAACACTCTGCAAGGTGTGTGTATTTCAAATGTTGACTAAGCATGCATGCTTACATACATCAGAAAGATACAAATTTTTGAAATCATAGTGCCATCTGAAGTTGCGCTGCAGTCACACTTACCTGTGTTAAATTAAGGTTTATAACTCAAAAATAAGAAAGGAAAAGGAAGAGTTATACTGCATCTCTTAGAAACTTCTACAGAAAAGGCTAAGCCCTGGAAGGTAGTTACACAGAAGATGAAGGCACCATACAGAAGTTGCTTCAGGGGAAATGACATCTGAATATAAAAAAACCCCACAACTTTACCATGAGAACAATTAAACATTGAAATAGGTTATCCAGGGAAATGGGAGAATATCCCTCGCTGGCAATATTCAAACTGCTTGACAGGATGCCTGGATAATATAATCTAAGGTCCTGCTTTGAAAAGAACATTGTACAAGTTCTCCAGAGGTCCCTTCCAACCTAGACTTTTCAATGTATTCTACAGTTGTCATGTATTTGAAGATTTTTGTAGCCCTCCAGCCTTTTTAAAAATGATTCTTTGCATGTAATCAGCTCATCTTGCAAATACTTCAGCAATACTGCAATTTACTGGAACTTCATAATAAGCAGGCAATGCTTTGAAAAGTTGCTGTACAGTATTCTATCAAATATTTTTCCACCACTCAGCATGACAGTAACATCAACAGAGTGAAGAAATTAAAATCTACTTGTCTGGCAAATGAAAGAGAATCATCTCATTCCTTCCTGTATCTGCAAAGATGGCTGCATATATGACCTTTCCCTCTCCTTACTGATGTAGGACTGTAAACCTCTCAGTAACAACATCTATTCTGGCATCTTGGGTTGAAGACTGACAGGTTCTCCTTGAAGATAGTAGGAGTGGGAACCCTTAGACCCTAGACCTTGAAGATATATTGAGGCACCTAACAGGATTTCTAAAGTCAGCTGAATATCTTATTCCTAGCAATTATCAGGTATTAGATACTGTAGAAGTTTGTGTTGAAAAGCATTTCTGAATTTTTAAATTATTACCTTAAGAAAAGCCAAAATCCCTTGCAGGCAGTAAGAATGAACCATGAAGACCAGTGTCTAGGACGAGTGCCACAGAATCACAGAATGGCAAGGGTTGGAAGGGACCTCGGGAGATCACCTAGTCCAATCCCCCTGCTAAAGCAGGTTCTCCTAGAGCATGTTACACAGGACTTCATCCAGGCAGGCTTTGAATATCTCCAGAGAAGGAGACTCCACAACCCCCCTGGGCAGCCTGTTCCAGTGCTCTGTCACCCTCAGAGTAAAGTAGTTCTTCCTCATATTCTACTGAAACCTCTTATGCTTCAGTTTGTGCCCATTGCCCCTTGTCCTGTTGCTGGACACCACTGCAAAGAGTCTGGCTCCGTCCTCGTGACTTCCACCCTTAAGATATCTGTATGTGTTGATGAGACCCCGTCTCAGTCTTCTCTTCTTCAGGCTGAACAAGCCCAACTCTCTCAGCCTTTCCTCATAGGGGAGATGCTCCAATCCCTTTGTCATCCTTGTTGCTCTTCTCTGAACTCTTTCTAGGAGTTCCTCATCTTTCTTGAACTGGGGAGCCCAGAACTGGACACAGTACTCCAGGTGGGGTCTCACCAGAGCAGAGTAGAGGGGGAGGATAACCTCCCTCGACCTGCTGGCCATGTTCCTCTTAATGCACCCCAGGATCACCTAAAGGAGTGATCAGACCCAAGCTAGTACAGATCCTGATGAGTCTACCAAAGGTTCCTAAGTCATTATTTTGAGTCTAAAATAAAAATTCCAGGCAGGAGATGCTAAGCCGAACTTCTCAGTGCAAATGGAAATCTTGCCATCAGCTATCTGCAAACCAGAGTTGATGGTAGTCTTTGAGTTGACATTCAGGTGGCACAGGTTTTGAAGTAAACCCAACTGAGCAACTTCTGCAAGAATATTCCTTGTGCACAGACCCCTAGGCTTCCTTTGTGTTAATGTACAAGGTTCACATCATTTGCTGCAGATCCAGATTTAAGGGTTTGGATTTACGTAAAGTTAGAGGGGGAAAAAAAAAATCAGAAAAAGCTAATTGCAAATCAGTCTCGTGAATTCTAAAACACCAACAGTGTATCCACTACCCAGATTGGACTGGAAATTCAAAGGCATGCATATGGAAAGAGCATTTTATTCAACAACATTGTTTAGAAAAAACAAAGATTGATATGCTTGTCACCTCCACATTAAACCCGGGGAGAAAGGATTACCGAAAAACCATGCTGAAACAGGAAATATTGTCACACAATTTAAATATTAGAAGAGGTAAAAACAGTTCTGCTACTGAAGAAGGTCACTGAAGGTGGCAGTTAGGAGCAAGAACTTCAGAAACAAGTGCAGAAATTGAAATATCTTCTCTGCTATCCATTACTGGGGAGAGTTTAGGAAAAGTTCTTTTTGAACAGGAAAAGCCATTTCACGATCAGTACACAAAGTTGCTCCCACCTTGTCTTGGACTGCATAATACACTCTGTATGCCCTCAGGCCACACAGCTTTGGTGATTTGTTGTTGATATGTACTTCAAAATACAGAGCTGTTCAGTTCATCAGTTACAAAACTGGTGACTCAAAAAAAAAAGTCTTGGTTTGACAGTTAGCGCTGGCCAATATAGAAGGCATGGCTCTTGAATTTGGAGTCATGATAGCATCACAAGGGCATAATTTTCCCAGCTGTAGTTGCCAGCACCATCATGAAGCTGCATAGTCTTTGGTGTAATGTCAAGTCAAGCTGCTGGCCCACATTGCCTGCTATGAACTCTCTGTAATAATCATACCTTCTGGCTGGACTGTTTCTGACTGAATATATCAAACCTGTGCTGCAACTGGATCTGAATGCCAAAATAATAATAACCACCAAAACATAAGGAGAGAGGGAAGCAGCAATCCTTATAGTTTTGAAGGCTGCTCTTCAAATCTGTTCATGTATTTCAAGTGATAGTAACAGCCACCCTCAGGCCTAAACACATGTACCAGAGGCAATACTTGGTTGTTCACATAGTATTCACATGTCATCACAAAATGCTTCACATACTGCAATTTAAGTCTTAAAGTAGATGGATCCCAGTTTATTCTTAACATACATATATTTATTATGAGACTCTCACTCTTTCACCACTTAGTACTGGTTGTTCTCATAAATTACATATAGACTAGCTGGTAGTGTAGCTCTTCAGTTGGTTTCACATGATATTTTTGTAGGGACTAAGCCTTTAGTTCTCCTTCTAATGATACTTACAAAAAACAAAGGCTATATTTCCAAAGAATTAGAAAAAGGTAGTCTAGGAAAACTTAAATAGGAATAGAAGTACTGTCAGCATAACACTGTGAATCTTCAGAAAAAAACAGATAGACTTTACGTTATATTTTCACACTCAGCATGCAATAGAAAATGGTTACCTGAGCTCCACCTCCCTGCAAGAACATGGCTTCAACAACTATCACTCACCTTTATTGTGCCACATACATCCAAAATAAATGGATAAACCATTTCTATTTGATTCCTTGAAATACAGCAAGAAGTAGTTTCCTTTTTCATCGGATATCTGTGCAAGCTACCATTAGAAATATCTGCGCTGGAGGTTTATGCTCTGTGGTGGAGGAACAAAACAGTATAGAGATCTGCAGAAGGCCAAGGATACTTACCTTTTGCTTTCCCCCAAAAGTGAGGCAGCCACCTCTAAAATGCATAGGATGGATATAAGCTGCAGCATAACATGCATGCTTCTCATTTTGTAGCTGAATAGACAACAGTTGTCATGACTGAATTTGTACTTTCTTAATTTGTCCCTTTTGTTATTTATTACCAAGAGAACAAACAAAAAGCAGTGCTTACTGAAGAATGCCAGTTACTGGCCAAAACTGACTTACGGTAAGCACTCTAAAGTCCACTTTTCAGAAAATTCCACTTTTTCCTGCATGGAGACTGGGAAATAGTGTAAAGTAGTTTCAAGATTAAAAAAAAAAAGTATTTTTGTTTACTAGTACCTTTTAAAGATGGGAATAACATTTTCTATTTCATTAGAGAACTGTTAGCTGCCTAGTAAAAAGCTGTCACAGCAGTTACTCATGTAGGGAACAAATAGTTTCTAAAGCAGAGCTATTTACAAGAGCAAGTTCAGCATCTAACATCTTTGGAATCCTCGTTTGGAGTATTGGAGGAATAAAGTCCCAAGATTCCTTTTTCTTCCTCCCCTAGCCAATATAAAAAACAACACACAATTTTTGTGGTTTTGAAGGAGGCTAAAGCTCTTCTAGCTTTCACTCTGTCACCAAAACCCAAACCACAAGCTAGCTCTCTAGAAGGGCATTCCTATTCAGTAGTTTGCTGTAATCCAGACTTAAGGCACTATGTGTTGGACACAGCCACAAGACAGAAGTAACTATAAGCAACGTGCTGTTTAGCTGTGAAGAATTAAGTATCTGAATGCAAGCTTAAAATAATCATCTAGTATAAGTATACTCCAAATTACCACGGGTAAGTAAAAGTTTACTTCTAGTTTTTTCTATTCCTTCAGTTTTGTGGCAAGGAGAGGGGAGGGAGTGGAATAGGGCAGACAATTTTTTTCCCTAGTGAATCCTTGATTTAAGATAATTTCATGTAGACAAACTTAAACCTGATGCATTCTCAGTCCAGCTTGATGAGTCCAGTTGCACTAAAGTAATTTGTTGAGCAAGAATGCAAGACACAGACACTACACTTCATGGTTCTTTAAGAAAAGAGATTAAGTCAGAGTTAACAGTTATTTAAACTAAGATAGCAGACCAGAAAGCATCTTTGGCCAGCTTGTAAGAGATCCTGCTAACCAGCTTTTAGTGATCATCCTGACAGCTATTTCAAAACTCCAGCATAGTAGGACTTAATTTTAGCTTGACCAGCAAATGGTCACTTACATGCTTAACTCAAATATTGAGAACCATATTCCTTCAATCAAGACCAAGACAATAAATTGGTTTTTTTTAGTTCTAATGGTATCTTTGAATACCAAATTACATATTGACATGCAGCCAAAACAAAGGTCAGGAAACCCCCCCAGTGATTTTCTGTGAAACACCATAAGGCCCATAGTTCAAGCTGGATAACTCCATTCCAATGTGTTGTTTTCAAGCCCTTAATCATACCAATCAAATGGTATTAAAAATAAGCAAGCAAGCACCCACCTGTATTAAAGGAGTTATAAAATTTGCTCTGGACATGAGCTAAGTGTTCTAATTAACTTAGTTTTCCCAGCATCAGTTTAGACCTCCTGCAAAGCTGGAATAAATAAGTTGATTTAATGAAACTTCTGAATGCAATGCAATGTAAGTACCTAGCTTCCATGGTCCTGCAGAAGGGAGCAAGAAAGTATCTTTAGTAGTTGCAAACTCAGTCTGAGCAGCTAATGGGATGAGTTTCTAGTGACAGTTTACTGTCAGCTGGGGATGTTATTTTTTTTTACTGTGGGGCAGCATTTGTTGAACAGGCCTGATGCAACAGAAGCTACAGAAAGACTCAAGACCTTGCTATCAGACAGCTATAGTAAGAACCCATGAGAAACAATTCTTAACAGGCTCTGAACTCCTAGTATCAACTAGACCAGAAGTCTGAGTTACAGAGGACAGAATCAACAGACATTTGTTTGGTATGAAGAGTTGCTTCTTTTTAATGTCATTAGGTAACATTACTTGGGATACTACAGTTTTATGTAACAGTGTAACATCCATAAATTTCTACATTTCCAGTTTGAGACAAATAATACTTAAATTCATAGCATTTTTTGCATTACAGAAAGTGCAAGAGAGGTTTATATACAAGATTAATTGCATGACTGGCTGAATTGGATACTAAGGCTGTATTCAAGTTGACTTTCTTAGCTCTCCAGTTCAGCAACTGCTTAGGCATCTGATTTAACAATACTATTTCAAGTTTACACTTAGCATTAACAGAAAAACCTCTGGGCACATCAACCATCACCACTGGCCAAGAATGTAGCTGTTACAGTCAGTTATAACCAACTGATTTAGAGATCTGTTAGTAAAGAGGTTCTTTAGAAAAGGCACAGTTTTCAAGAGATTGAGAACTACCTCACGTTAATGGCACAGAGGTGGTCCATCTGTTCACAAGGAATCTAGGCATGGAGTGAAGCCATGATTGTCTTTTTGCTTTCTAACATACTGGAAATGTGCCACACTACACCATGTGACAACTCAAACTGGGTAACATCAGGGACATTCACCAAGATATATGCAAGAGGCCTCTCTGCTTGTTCCACTTGTCTGCCAAGCCACCTTAAAAGTGTAATCCTAGTAGATTTCCCTCCCTGAAAGAAAAAGTTATATTAGCACCAAGACAACAGTTAGTGTCTGTGACTACCTCAGCATTCTGCAGTAAGTGTTTCAGCTTATCCGACCCTACAGTGTAGACCCCTAGTGCTCAGGACCCTAGCAGTTTTATTACAGATGCCAGAGTTAGTCCCTTTATTACACATTTATGGCAGAATGATAATTTTACTATTAGTTAAATATGCAAGTATTGGAATTTCCCCCCCACCATACAGTTTACATCTTTGTGGCTCAGAGACCAAGTCATATGTCCAGTCACCAATTAGAACTGAGTAGCATCCACTTAACTTTACAACTGGCTGCTGTTGTGGTAACAGGCAATTGACCTAGTTGTTTAAGGTGTGGAGTTTTAACTACTAATTCAATTCCCTTACATGAAAGCAACACTTCTTTCCCAGGTACATTCAGTTCCAATATTTTAGGACAGTAAGTGCTACAGAAAGAGGAATTGTGATGACCATGTTTACAAGACACATGACTTCGTGTTGCTAAGCTCTTTTGGGGAAGATTGCAAAGAACTAAAGTAAAGTTAACATCCGCCAATTTGAATGTGGGTCTCCAGCATGAGTCCAACTTTCCATTTGCTTTGCCCTGAATTATCATCTTCACAGCATGTTCTTTGAGGGTTCGTGTTTCAATCCACTTGGACACGTTTTAGATTACAGACATCATGGAACGGCAGCAAGAGTGGCAGACAGCAAAGTGAAACGAGTAGAAAAATCATGTTGAGAAGAGGTCCAGTTATTCCGTTTTTCCTTTTCTGGTTATGCCTAGTATGATGAAAAGGACTTAGGGTTAGGATGGCTACAAGTTAATTTTATTGTTTCAACTAATTTAAAGCCACTGAGAACAAAACTAAAGCAATAAATAGCAACATTTGCTGTCTGTTAGAAGCCAGACAGTATTTCAGGGGAAGACTTAGAGATGTGTCAGAGGAACAGATTTGCTAGTTTGACAGTTCACGTTCTCTAGTCAATAGTACAAAAGCTGGAGTTACCGTTAGTTTTTAGTGACAAAAGCACTCAAAATGGCCCCTACTCTGTTTTTAACTCCAGTTCACCCAGAGTACAAACTTATATTCATTTAGGGGACTAACTTCAGAAAGCTGTTTGGGGCACTGTGCGTTAACACTCTCCTAAAGAGATATCTGCAGGAATTTGGTCATCCCCCCTGAGTTTTGCAGCACGTATTTACTCACTAACTTTCCTCAAGGAAAGAAAATCCAGATCTATTGTGGCCTTGAAATTTAAGTCCATGGAATAACAAAGTCTTTATTTGTAAGGAAGTGAAGCTGGCTAAGCTTATCCAGAATGCAGCTATGTACAGAGTACATGAGTAGAGGTACTCTAGCAGAAGTGTTCTTCTAGGGACTGTTTACCATACGTCAGAGGAACATTAGAGTTAAGCCAGTGTAGCTTTTAGCCAGCTCTTTACCAAAGGTTTTCTGAATCAATTTCAGAGAATTAAGTAGGTTGTCTTATTAGTGGAAGGCTTACCTGATCTATGCAAATGGGTTACCAAAAGGATCACCAAAAGGACCAGAAGGTGGTTTCTGAGATTCCTTTAAGGAAAGAGAGATCACAGCCTGTTAGTGGATTTTCAGGTTTTCATGAGATTTACTCTGTGTGGCTGTTTCAGCTAGCTCCTGTTCCAAACACCTTCTGGAAAGACTACTGTAGAGACCCTGCTGAGTACGTATTAACTGTACTGCTTTCACAGGAGAAAAAGGTCTCTAAAGGCATGTCAGCAATTATCCTAGTCTGAGGCAAGGTTTCTTTCAGAAAAGCCATGTGTGCTTACTGAAGACTCATTTGGAGCTGAGCCAGTATATTCATGATGAGGTCTGTTTTAGCCAAGTGCTAGATATCTTAAGTCAACATTCTGGAACTGATCCACAGTTTCCACCAAGGGCTTCAAGTGCTATATCCCAAATAGAGAGATATGGTTAAGCCACTTTGCCCCTCAGGAGGTACTGAAGGGTAAGTATAACTAAAGTGGAAGACTTCTGCAGCTACATTATTTTACCATTTTTTTGTAGAAGCTCCCACTACTGAAGAACTTCCTGCTAGGGCTTGCAGCTCGGGGAACCAGTTATGGGCTCAAGCCAAATGGAGTCATATTTTGTTAGCCTTCTTGCAACAAATTCCCTCTGTTAGATTAAACATTAGCCTCAGACATGCAAGAAACTTTGTTCCGCTGGCCTCTAAAGCCAGAACTAAGCCAGTGCTCAAGCACAGGCCCCCTGTTGTTAAGGAGAAAGAAAGGTTGGGTGTTCTTTTGGTTTTTTTTTTTTTCCCCACTACTTACAGATGAGGCACTGAAAAGGTCTGGTTTAGCTTGACTTTCAAACAGGCCATCAGCTGGCAGCACACTTTGTCGGGGAACAGGCTTTGGTGGTTCTAAGGAAAAGAGACATACTGCTATAATCACTTAACAGCTTTAACAAGTACTCAGCCCTGCCTATATAGCAGCACCAAAACTCATCTAATAAGATACAGAAAAACCACACATGGAAGTTGCTTTGAGTGACCTCTGAATTTTATCTCCTCATGACACTTAAGCTAAATGTGACTTCTAATACTGTACATACCTAGTTTACCTCATTCTAATCAAGTAGTTTAGGCACTAGGTGTCAGTATTTGGCCACTAACATTGATCAACTCTGTAACATTATTAGGGGAGACAGTACTTCAACTCTCTGTTTCAGTAACCATTACATAAAATTTTTAGTTTTATCAGAGAAGACTAGTGATCAGCCATCACAATCCCTGAGCAGCTATCCAGGCAGAAGAAAAAAAATTTAAAAAAAAAGATGTTACCAGTCATTTTGGCAGACAGCTTGCTAGCTTCCATGTCATCATGATCTGTACTAGCTTGAGGAATGCCTACTTTACTACCAAAATAATTGCTGAAAGCTCCAGAAGCACCTGAAAGGCTTTGCTGCTCTCCTCTCCTTGCTGGTACTGCAGGTGGCTTTGTCAGCTGGAAGTCTTTAAACATTTCCTTGACATCTTTCATCTCTTTATCACCAAGCGGATCCAGAGCAATAAAAGCATCACTCTCTTTCTTGGATAGCTCCCTCTGAGGTGCAGTTCTAGGTGGTGGCTGAGGTGGACTAGTTGTTGTTGACATGGAAGGCAGGACAGATGGTATCTGAGCAGGTAGAGTTGAAGATGGGAACACACTACTCTGGAAGGGGTTTACAGCACTGGATGACTGTGCCCATGAACTGGATGGAACTTGTGCTGCCTGTGCCCAGAGACCAGAGGGCTGAGAGGCTGCAGGACCAAAAGATGCAGGCTGACTCCAGCTTGGCACTGCTTGAGTACCAAAGGCAAGTGACTGAGTAAATCCTGTAGGCTGAGCAGGCATCATAGACCCAGGGAAGACTGATGCAGCCTGAGTGAAGGCAGGTGTCTGTGCACTCCATGGTGATGAAGTTACTGGCAAGCCACCTGGGGGGAGATTGTTGTTACACAGCACTTCAGTGATCTGAAGACCTCAAGCAGGAGTGTATCAATTACACTGAGGGTGCCAGCAAAACAATTTTCATGTGCTGTTTGCAAAAAATCAATTAATTTACACTTGATTAAGTAATTTGGGGGGAGGGGAGAAGGGGTTTAACATTTTTTACTTTGCTCCATTTCAGTCCTCAAAGAACAGAATTGAGGTTGCTGTAGCAGAAGGAGGAACCTAGTTAGTCCTAGCACAGAAGTGACAAATGCATTTGCCATATAGTTACTTCTGTGTAAATTATTAAGATTCTGCAACAGTGTTAACCCTAGCATCCCAAGTTGTGCTTGGCTCACTTGAACCTGAAGCAGCAATCTTCTGTCAAAGTTTAAGTAAAAAAAAAAAAAACCGTTCCAGTTAAGGATGCAGAGTTTAGGCCTCTATACACAAAACTTAATTGGTAAGGGTAGACAGCACATGGATTAAATCATGCATGGCAATACACGTGAAGTAAAGGAAAACTGGAACTCATGTTTTGGTGATAGCAGATATCTTAAACTGGAGCACGACCCTCACTTTGTGAACTAACCTAGACCAGCCAATGGAGGTGCTGTGGTAGAACTGGTTTTGAAGAGGTCCAGTGGACTAGTTGGCACAGGTCCTGTTTGTGCCACTGAGGTCAAGCTAAGGCTCTCCGTAATCGGCACAAAGAGGTTTGAGCTAAATAAGTCATTCGATGCAGTCTGGAAAGAAAAAAAGCTTTGTGAGATTGAGTGGCAAAACACACGCTATCAAGGCTTCCTAGTCCAGAGCTACAAGCATTTATTTCAGCTAGAGCAGAGCAGGGAGCTTTGATGTACCCTTTAGAGGCCGAGTATAAGAGTCTCAAACTTCACCATTTTGTTCATGCTGACTGAGATGCATGGCATTAATTAGGTATGATATATAGTAGTCACAATTCAACAGCAGAAGAATAAGACTTAAAGTGACTGAATTATTTGCTATCGTAATGAGCTTCCCTCTCCCCCCCACACCCCTAAGCACTCCTGCGCAGTCTGCAGTGACCCCTGCAGTTGTGGTAAGGTCAGCAACATAGTTCTGCATCATTTGAGTGCAAGACAAATGCAGCCACCCTGTATCTAATCAGGCAAGTCACTGAGATTGCCCTCAGTAGGCAGGTAGTGAGAAACTACACAGGTTTCTGTAAGCTAGTATTAGCATCTCATTATTATGAAACTACAGGCTGATGGGCATGGAGCTCTCCTAACAGGTTCTGGCATTATATCAAGCACCAATATACATGGCAGCAATACTTACCAGACCTTTACAGAAGTATGGCAGCATTAAGGAAAAGATATATAATTTAGTGACCATAGCTACTATGAAGCATTCATGAATGTTAGACTGTACTGTGGCTGCAGAGAGGTTAGAGTAAGCATGGCAGGTAGAAGAGAAGTAAATGTGTATTGAAGCTGTTTAGCCAGTTACACAGTGTGAAAAAAAAAAAAAAAAAAAAAAGAGAGAAACTGGGATGAAGAAGCTTTTAAATAAGAGCATGCATATCACCATTAGTGACTCGAACATTGTTCACCTTGATAGACCTCCTTCCTCTTCCTGGCTTGGTACTTTGTGGCGGTGGGCTAATTGTTATAGACTCATGTGACATGAGCTGGATAGTGCTTTCAGAATCCAGCTTTATTCCATTCTGCAGAGATACTCCTTTGGAAGAACCTTCCGCAAACAGGTTTGACGGGGCTTTAACAAAGCCGTTCCGTTCTCTCTCTGGTACCCCATTTGAAGTTCTTGCTGCAGGTGACTTACTCTCAAGTGGCCACTGGGTTGTTAGTGCTTCTCGTTTGCCAGATCTGTTAGAAATCTGGTCAAACTCTTTACCAAAGTAGTCAATATCACCATTTGAAGCACCATTACCCACTGGTGTTAAGGTACTCAGACTTTCCTTCTTCTGATCAGCAGATTTTAGAGAATCAAATGAAGGCAGTGCAGATTGGTCTGTCTGTGTGAAAGGATCATCACTGAAAGGGTCTGGATTAGGCGTGGGAAAGAAGCTGAGATTGGTAGAGAAAGAACTCTCAGGCAAGAAGGGTGGCTGTGGCTTTGGTTGTGGAAGAGAGGCTGTGATGCCATTCAAGAAGAGATCGTCTTTTACAAAAGTCTGTTTGGTCTCAATTTCAGAATTTAGATCCACTAACAGAATCTCTTTAGCTTCCTATTTGTTCAGAAAGAAAAAGAAAGTTAGTTTTCTGTGGGGCTTGCTGCATAGTACACAAGCTCAAGGAAAACAGCTGCAATACATTATACTAATAAGTATTCATTGTCACAGTGAAGTTGCACTAAAGCTTAATTTTATAAGTCATTAAAGCAAGCACTGCTGTCTGTGGTCAAATCACAGCTACTTAGTTTCAGAAACTCAGTGTTAAAAGCACCTGTTTTAAGATCCCTTAGTTAAACGTCAGATGCTCATTCTACAGCCTAGAGTCATTAAGCACTAATTACACCTAGACTTTCACTTGAGTCAAGAACCCCTGTTTGAGTTTTAGTCCCTTTTTGACAAATTGTGAAATCACACTGCCTTAGTTTGACTTCAAGTTGCAGTCTCAGCTTTGGAGTAAGGTTAGAGAGCTATCTGGCAGTGGAACGTGTTAACATGCCACCTCTCCACCAAGCAGGCAGTAGAAGGGTAAGACCCAGTCACTAGCTGGATTGACAGCACCAATTGTATCATGGCTGATGGTGGCTTACGGTGCTTAGAATAAACCAGTAAGATTTTTGGGGTCATACTGATTTATGATAAGGCTTATGCACACTTTTGTGGAGTTAGGCCACATCTTGAGCTAGGGCTGCTCATCTCGAATGGCCAGGAGTCCACTCTGAGGGACTTACTTAAAGGATTCACTTGGCAATAAAATGAGCTTCAGCTTTAAAGGTCTTTAGCAGAGTTTCTGTAGCAGCTCTTATAGCAGCAGAGGCATGCACTGCTAGTACATATTTCTAAGATATCTGACTAGAGAGGTGGGCTCATGCAAACCTCATGAAGTTCCACAAGGCCAAGTGTAAGGTCCCACAATTGGATCAGGGCAATCCCAAACATGGATACAGGCTGGGTGATGTGTGGATTGAGACAAGCACTGTGGGTAAGCACCTGATGGTATTGGTGGATGGAAAACTGAATGTGAGCTGGCAGTGTGCACTCACAGCCCCAAAAGCCAATTGCATCCTGGGCTGCATCAAAAGAAATGTGGCCAGCAAATCAAGGGAGATGATCCTTCCCCTCTACTCTACTCTTGTGAGACCCCACCTGGAGTACCATATTCAGCTCTGGGGCCTCCAGCATAAGAAGGACATGGACCTGCTTGAACAGGTCCAAAGGAGGGCCACAAAGTTAATCAGGAGCTGGAGCACACCCCTGTGAGGACAGGCTGAGAGAGCTGGGGTTGTTTAGCATAAAGAGAAGAGAAAGCTCTGGGGACATCTTATAGCAGCTTTCCAGTACTTAATGGGGGCCTACAGGAAAGTTGGAGAGGGACTTTTTAGCAGGGCATGTAGTGATAGGACAAGGTGTAGTGGTTTTAAACTGAGAGAGGGTGGGTTTAGATTAGAGATATTGGGAAGAAATTCTTTACTGTGAGGGTGGTGAGACACTGGAAGTTGTCCAGACAAATTGTAGATGCCTCCTCTGTGGAAGCATTCAAAGCTATGTTGGATGCGGCTTTGAGGAACCAGATGTCCCTGCCATGTCCCTGTCGGTGATGGGGAGGTTGAAACTAGATGATCTTTAAGGTCCCTTCCAACCCAAATCCATTCTATGAATCTATGACTAACAATACAGGATTATCTCAGTCATGCAGTCTCAAGCAAACTCTGCTGGATAAGAATGACATTAGCCACTCTAGTTAGTAATCAGATATTATTATAGCCCTAAGACACTAGCACACCAATTATAGATGTCTCAATGAAACTAGAAACCAGGGCTAAGAAAGTAAAACTAGATCTTATTACTAGGACAAAGTTTGCTCACAGAGCGAAAACCAAGACAGCTAAGCCAGATTCTACTTACTGTGGGACTGCTCATATCGGGAGGTGTTGACATATCCCCAAACAAGTCCATCTGGTCAACTCCCTTGAAGCCAGAAACATTGAAAGAATTTGTATCTGTTCTTGCAAGAGCAAGAATCAAGCATTACACAGATCTACTGTAAACACATATATAAATTCTGCATTTCCCACACAGTGTGGAGACAGACAGTTATGAACTTCTCAATATCATCAGCATAAAGTTCTAAAATTTAACCTACCAGTTTCATTTTGTCAGCTTGATCAGCAGGTAGTGCTTCGCTACCATTCTGTAATACATGAATAACAGCATCAGCAACAATTGGAATATCAAAATTTGCGTTAAGCAAGGGACTTGCAGGCTTCAAAGAGTAAGCAATGGAAAGAGGAAGTTTGGGGGAGATCACTACTCAGTATTAGTTCTGTAGGCCCCTTTTACTCCCATTTCAATGTAATTGGCCATCTGCCATTGCCTGCATAAGGCTGGCAATGTAAAGAAAGTCAAAGCTAGTTCTGTTGTGGCAGCATACCTAATGAAGTGAGGCTGAGTTGGAATGACTTACCTCAGTCATACTTGCTTCTTCACTCTAAAGGAGAAAGGAAGGCTTTTAGTACCTAGACATTAATGTGATTATCCAAAGCCTCTCACTTCAGAGAGCTTACCAGATCTAGGATGTAATCAAACTGTTGGTACAACTATGAACCAATAGCTTCAAGTGATCCTGGATTTAGACAGACCTCAGTGTCAAGTATGAGAGGAGCCCAAAAGCCAAGCCAAAGCTGAAGCAAGCTTTATTTATAGAAACTGCATTAGTCTGCGTAGACTTTTACTCACCTGTTTCTTGTCTTCTTCCTTCTTCTTCATATTGTATATTAGTTGGAAGAGGTCCTTAAGATCAACGACTAGAGGCTCAGCCTGAAAAAGCATGTATATTTTAGGCATGTATTACCTCACAGCTTGCTTCAGTAGAAGTCCAGGGAGCAGCAAGCCAAACTTTCCTAAATGGTGCAACAGTAATGTTGAGATAACAGGAAATGCAAGAGCTTAAAGGATTGTCTGGTCTCCACACAAGAGAGCTTGTGCAGAATCCAAGGGTAATGGAGAACAACCAGCTTATAACTGCCATTGACTCCACAGGGAAAGTGGCTGTATTTGTGCTAAGCCTGCTACGTTTTTGCTAAAAAGCTTGTAGCTCAAGATACAAGTGCATAACAACTCCTAATCATATTCCCTCCAAAGTGCAAAGCTTATCCAAGCTCTCCAGTAGTCTCATGAGGTGAAAGCATTTTGCACCTGTCTGTTTTCTACTAACTCCAACACTGAACCCAGAGAAAGCTTTTTGGCTAATACTACTTTTATTTTAAACAGGATGCAAATAGTAAACCAGCAAGGCAAGCATAAGGTAGATCATCATCACCTCAAATGTGTAAACCTTTAAGTGATATCTGTATCAGGATAAAAATTTAGTGTGGATTAGAAAGGCACTACATTCCCTGCACATGCATTAATGAGAATGTTTTGAGTGGTTGCTGAGATGGTGGCATGTTCAGCTATACTAATTTGGAACTCTTGATTGAGGCATATAGCGGTTATGTCAGTGCCTAGAGTAGGACAAGTCCCCCCCGTTCAGCCACTGCCTTTGGTTCAAGCAGAGAATGCGTTGAACAGTTCTCACTGCTTACATCTGAGCATCATCCTCTACTGATCAAGGGATTTACACGTGCAACTGCAGTAACAGCCATTTCAAGAGTTATCAGCTTTCACAAGTAGTATGGCTGCAGCAGTCTAGAGCTGCAGAATTCTTTACTACTCAGTTAGACAAGTCTGTTAAAAACAACTAACAACAAGTCAAGAGCTGTCTACAGCTTGGCTAAGCTTATAGACTGGCAAGCAGCACCCCACAGTGAAAAGCTCTGAGAGAACAGACTCCACTCCAAAGCATACACAGAAGGCTTTTGTACTTAATCTATAATTCCAGTGAAGCCAATACAACACAGGACTCCGATAAACTAATAAAACATGCTTAGGAGAGGGTGTTACAGCAGTTACTAAAGTCGCAACGTGCTTCAGCAAGGAGCCTCTGATTCCCACCCCAGCGGGTCTGAAGCTGCCAACAGGTTCTTCAGGAGGGCAGGCAGGGATGTGTATGAAGAAATTACTAGCTTTGAAGTCTTGGCTCATCACATCATTATAATGGCTATCATAAAGAACATTATAATGACAAGCTAATAATGATAGATATCTAACTTAAGTTCAGGTCATTTAGGAAGCTGCATAATACTCAGCAGTAATTCCAAGCAACTTGTTTCCAATATTGCTTATACACAGATATTTGGAAGAGACAAACCCTGTGTACAGGTTTCCCCCCTGAAGAAATCCTATTACAGAAGGATCAGAATTCCTCCCAGAAATAACTGTAGGAGGACCAGACCTGCCATTCACTGGCCCCAGAAACAGTACTGCAATTCAGTAAGTCTGTTTTCACCACTGCACAAGACAGAGCATCATGAGGACTAGTGGAGTTCTAACATCATTCCTGTTAATTCTGAGTGAAGCTCTGGCTATTTGACTCAAGAATTAGCATTCTCACTGACAGTAACAGTCCACTGTACAGGAAAGCCCATCACAATGGTTCCATTCATCTCACTAATGACTTCCATGGTGCATAGACATGTTAAACAAGGTAGATCATAGTAAGCAAGGCTACTTGAATATTTTTATTCTGCACTACAGAGAATCTGAACAAGTTATAAAAGCCATTGGTGATACAGCCAATTCCTACTGCCTTCCTCTAGGTGAAGAGCCTATCCATCTGTGGTGGTATTCCTCTATACCTCATAGGGCTACCAGCAAAACACTACGCCCTTATCACATATTAAGTGTTTACACAATAGCATTACTCATAGCAAGTGGAAAAGGGTGTCTGATCCATACCTGTTGTGCTGTTTTTATGGCAAAAAATTGGTGCTGGCCTTCTCCTCCACAAATATAGCCAAAGGCACGATTGTCTGTTACATCACGAGCAATAAAGGAGATCTTGTTTACTGGATGCTCATGCTCTATGACCTAGAATCAAGAAAAAAATAACTACTGGTTTAAATTGCTGGAGACATAATAGCTGCTCTTCTCTGAACTTAGAATCTTTGAGACTGTTAGAAGGCTTCAGTTCAAGACTCAGATTTAGCAGCCTTTGACTAACCACAGTAGGATGTAGCCATCTTTCTGGCAGGAGGCTTCAGCAGTATAACCGATTTCACAAGCCAGTTTTTATACGTGGAAGGAAGGGCACAATGCTCTTAAGGAATCTGGTTCAGATTGGTCTTACTTCCAAGCACCTCACTTGCTTTAGCAATCATATTAAGAGAACTTACCCCAGTTTTCTCATCTATTATCTTGATACCAGAGAGGGAGATGTTCACCCAGATCTTCTGTTTGTGTTGACCCTGGGAACGGGCTGCCACTGCCATTCCCTGAATAGTATAAATAACAAAGTATTGATGAGAATTCTGTTAGACTGAGCTTTAACTTGTTTCCTTACATTCCTCATGAGTCCATGGCTGTGACTGTACTAGTAGAGCTAATCTAGTTATTCCTATGCTACTGTACAGTTAGAGCAGCATTTCTCTTGCAACCTATGCCTAACTAGGTTTGAAGTGATACCTCAGAACTAGATTGTGTTTCCTTTGTAAATGTTTTGGAGCTTAAAAACTTCTTATCTTGGTTTACAAAAATACTGCAGTAGCAGGATCTTTACCAGATTTCCTGACCTGACTGAAGCTATGCAAGTACTCTGTGCTCTAGAAGTAATCATCTTTGTTGCTATAGGGTCTCATTTATTCTTTGGCTTACCTATATCTCTTGGTGTCACTATTGCCACAAGATGCCAACTTGTGCTTTGAGTTCAGTGTTAAACTGCACAGAGTTCCCCCCTCCCCATCCAAAACCCAAGCTCATTATTTGTGATGAAGTTCATGCTATTAGCATCCATATTGGACACCTACAAGAGACCCAAAGGAGCATTCCCAAGCTATTAGAGAAATACTGTCCGTTGAGCAAGGAGTTACAGCTTTAGATGTAACATTCATCTAGGATGGTGCTGTTATTACTATGTTACCATTAAGCCGTATTTGAAGTTGTGCCAAAGTGACCATTTTATCTGCTTTATGAAGGCTACCCTTTTCATTGTATACCAGCTCAAACCCTTACCTTCAGCTTCATCATTGAATCCTGACTCATTTTGTCTCCTCTTGCCTCCGGGACATCATCAATGCCAATCAGTTTAGCTTTGTATCTTACACCATCACCTTTGAATCTGGCCAAGAGAGATTCATCTGTCTTTTCTGGCCCTGGAGACAGAGAGAAGTGTTTTAGTTTTTTTGTTTGTTTAGTTTTTTGTTTTGTTTTCTTTTTAGAGAGAAATGTTGTGGATTTGAGATATTTTAAAAGACATATACATGTTGGTTTTGGCCAAGGTAGAGTTAACTTTCTTTATAGTAACTAGTATGGGACTACGTTTCTGATCTGTGCTGGAAAGAGCACCCCACCACACCAGCGAGGAGGCTGGGGGGGCACAGTCAGGACAGCTGACTCCAACTGACCCAAGGGATGTTCCATACCATGTGATGTCATGCTCAGCATATAAACTGGGGGGACCTGAAGGAAAGGGGAGGGGACCTTCAGAGTGATGGCATTTGTCTTCTCAAGTAGCTGTTACATATGGAGCCCTGCTTTCCTGGTGATGGCTGGACACCTACCTGCTGATGGGAAGTAGGGAGTGAATTCCTTCTTTTTCTTCGCTTGTGTGTGCAGTTTTTCCTTTACCTATTAAACCATCTTTATCTCAACCCGTGAGTTTTCTCATTTTTACCCTTCCAGTTCTCTCCCCCCCATACCACCTAGGGAGAGTGAGTGGGTGGCTATGTGGGACTCAGTTGCCAACTGGTGTTAAACCACAACATCACATAGGTACATATTAAAACTGTCCCTTGTGTATAGCTGACTAACAACCCCTAGTCCTTCCAGTACTGTGTGCACTGCAGGACAGTTACTCCTTTAAGGTTGCAGTGCTCTTGCAGAATCTGGCCTCAGTTCAAAGAGTGGACCCCAGTGCTTAATATCTGGGGACTTCAGAACAATTGTTTGCCACATAAAAGGCTGAAATACTTCTAGACAACAGTAAAGTACATATAAGTGCTAAGTGAAAACTCCAAGCAGAAGTTGTACCTCCCAGGGCCATACAGGATGCTCAGTAAGCCTTTTGGATGTTAGCCCCTAGTTCTGGTGTAGTCAGATCTGTGTGCAAGAATCTCCTCATCCCTGTGCTAGAACTTCCTATCAGCACAATCATTTCCACAAGTCCTGGTACCCCCACCCGTGTAATCACTTGGATTTTAGCTATATTTGCCATTTCTACTGTTCCCACTACTTCTCAAGACTGCTTGGTTTTCTTCTCTGCATGGTCAACATACACTGAGTGTGTACCTAGGTATGTATTTCTCTATGAGGTAATTATATTTACGTGACCTAATCTATCAAAAAAATCTATTATTGATCTATGATAACTCTCATGAAATTAGTTTTCTAGCTTCTCTGGACTAGAATCTGTATTCATGTCCAGCACATCACTCCCTCTTGGGAGGAAGCAAGTTCAGGTTCAGACTGACAGCTACCTAAATTGTCCTGGGTCTGGTCACCTCCTCTGGAGGCTTTCACTTCTCTGGGCTTTTGGTGACTTATTGGGCTCAGAAAATGAGTCATTTAACAAGTGGAACTGAGAGCTTTAGAACAAAACCTTTCAAGCTAAAAGTCTGCCTTCTGGTTTGATTTATTTTACTAGCTTACTTACCCACTCCTCCAGTAAGCTTGAAACCTCGGATTTAGTTAAACTATGCTGTGAGAGTGGTCTTAGTTTTAGGTAAGTGCAAGATATTAAGGACACTGACTAGAGTTGGTGCTCAAGAGGCAAGAGGATGTGCTCTTACCTTTCTTTTTTTCCTTCTTTGAAGGTTGTGCTTTTGGTAGAGGTTGTTGCTCAGGCTGGCTGTTGATAGTAGTAGCTTCAGCTTCAGTAGACATGATGAGATGGTCGTCAGCTGTGCTTGCTGTAGTTTTTAAAAGGCCAAATAACAATCAGTGGGCAGACATAATATTTTTCCTTGAAGAAGAAATATTCTTATTAGACCTGTTAGTCCTGTTTTGTTCTACTGAACACTGAAGCCCACTAATGCCTGAAAGTTTTAGTAGTGATCACATAGGAAGTCTGACTCACCGTCTGTTCATCTCAGGCTATGGAAAGCATGAAGTTATGGCCAATAGGTGATGAACCCTCACCTCAATAATACCTAATCAGTAGATCACACTGACCTACATCCACAGTCTGTACTTGCATCACCCTGTTTTAGTCTGTCAACCTTTAGCTTTTTACCCTTTAAAGCTATTTATAGAACCTCAGATATTTTTATCTATTGTCCTTCAGCACTGCCAGCTGTATCTCTGGAGCAGGAGAGAATGCAAGGAACACTTGCTAGGATCTCTTCTGAACACCCATGACAATGATACCAGAACACCCAAGAGAAGCCACTAGATCTTACCAGTGTTTATATAACTAGTGGAAGTCTGAGGTTATACCACCCAACAGGTAAAAGGAATTTAATTTGCTTAGGCTGCAGACAGACTCTTCCAGGAAAACACACAAAAAACCCCCTAAACCAAAACCCCACACCCTTGTCTCAACAGTAATCAAGTAACCTTAGTTTTAAAAAAATAAACCTGCAAGTTCACAGAAACTACGGACTACTATGACTTAACTCCATGCCATGAGACTCTTCTGCTTCTAAGGTACAAGGTCCATTACAAAAATAAGCTGCAGTCACCAGGTTTGTTCCTACATAGCTGAAGCATTGATTCACACTTGCCAAACAGAGGGACTCGCATTGTCTTTATGGAGTTCTGAAGATCATCTATACCCAGGCAGAAAGAACTAGACATTCACATCTGCTACAGAAACTGTTCTATGAATCTTCTGTCTGGGGTATTGCAGTGGGACTGGGGTATTGGCTTCAGTTAGTTCCTTGAATTTTACAGTGACAAATGAAGCCAAGAGATAGTTTAGATGATTAAGTAGCTGGGATACCCTCCCTTTTATCCAGCACACCATTTGAGCCTTACTATCCACCCAGATACAAGTGCTGAAGCATTGCATAACCCCTAGCATTAGAAGCTTGTAATTCTCAATAGCCTATTCCTCATTTGCCTTAGTTACAGCTAATGCTTTATCTATTACTTGGAAATTACTTTCAGGGTTCTGCTCTCACTCCTGCCTCCCCCACATTCATCAATTCATTACTAAGTGAACAGCTAAAGACTGACTCATCCAGCTTGCCACTAACAGAGTAATGGATGCCAATGCTTAACTGATTCTTAACCTAGGAAGAACACAGATTCCTAGATCTTTAAGACTTAAGAGACAATTCCACCCTGAAGGCCTCTATTTCACCAGGATGGGAGTCTTTAGGAAACTAGCTGTTAATGTAAGCAAAGTTAAATCTAGATGCTTACTAGATGGTTTGAGAGTTGCATTTAGCATTGCTCTAGTAAATCAGAGATAAAAGTGCTCGTATGAGAAATATCTCTGGCAGCTATACCTGTTCTTCTCTGTAAGCTGCTTATCTGGCCACAGCTAGGAAACATTTGATGCAAGGGAACAAGGGTGTTGCTGTGAAAATTGCAAGTGGTTCTGACTAGAAATAGATGTTAGAGGAAGTGTTGATGTAGCAAGCCATGGTTATCTAGGAAATGTTAGCACTGGAAGAGTGGATTTTGTGCCCATTCTGACAAAGGAGGAAGACAGAAACTACTAGAGCTAACAGGGATTTTGCAAGATACATGCACCTGTGCTAAAAAGGAGCATACCCATTGAAAAACCACATATTAAGCAGATAAAATGAAGCCAACTGAATTCTACTCTAAAACTAGACTAGCTTGCCTGATGGTACTTTTGGGTCGAGATAGTATTTAGGCTTCAGCATAATGAACCGCTCCCCAGATTTCTCCAGTCCCTCAGAAATAGAGAGGAAGGAAAGATAGAGTTAAGGTTGAACCATTAGTTAACCACCCACCCCCATCTGGAAGGTTACTGTTTAGGGAACAGCAGGAAAATGCCTGGAGAAGAACAGAGCTAAGACATGCTCTCCAGGAGTTGAGTCATAGCTTTAGGACATTCTGCCCAGCCCCATGCTGGAAAGAAGAAATAGAAACCTTAAGGTGCTGAGTCCTGCCTGTCAGTGATCCTGCTTCCCCAGTTTAACTGGAAGAGCTACACCCAGCTCTGGTGTTATACTGTCACAGTAAGTATCTCACTCTGAATTAAAGTTAAGAAGCAGTAACAAGCAAATAACCTAGGAAGGAGTGAATATGAACAAGCAAGACCTCACTTCGGCAACGGTAAAGTGGTACAAATCCAGATGGGTAGCTGACATCTTTAAACTCTAGCCATCCCTCCATTATTATTATTATCTGCCTCCATCCTGTGGAAGCCAGACCACTTATTTGCATAAAGCCAGACAGCATAGGGCCCATGGTGGAGGAAGATAGACAGGGATACGCACAGGTCTCACTGAACCCTTGCAAATACCCCCCATCTTACTGTGGAGAAGCTAATTCTCAATGTTAGCAATGCAATTTGAGAAGGTTAGAGAGGGCTTTCTGGCCAGTCTACAGGACGTACTCTCCAAGCTGAGGTCTGGCACTGCTGTCATCACCTGGTGAGAGTTCACAGTACATGGCATTTATTTATCATGCCTTCTGAGGACTCAGTATCCTTGAGAATCGTATCTCTGGAGCAAGAGAAATAGCAAAACTAAGAATGCAAGGATAGACAAAGGCTTCCTTAATACGCATTCATATTTTAAGTAACAACTTCTTGACATCTTAGTTAAGCCACAGGACTAGCCCAAAATTGCGCCAGGATTTACCTTAAAATTTCATTGTAGTGGAGAGCAACATTATATAGCTTCAGCCAGCAGTAATCCAGTCTGCTTGAGGAAAGAGAGTCTCAGCCACAACTAAACTTTGATTCTATTCTTTAGACCCAAGTTAAAGCTGTGCAAGGTCTTTGCTGCACTTAAATTTACCTTATTTTAATGGAATGGTGTGTTCTACATGCAAGTAACTAAAATGAAGTTAAAAAATTTCTGTTTGCAGCTCTTGCTCAGAGGCTTCCTTTTGCAGCACTCAATCCCTTAATATTTCTTTACTCAGACTGCATGAGTAAGGGAACAAGAGACTAGAACTGTTCTATTAGACTTGAATTCCAAGTTCATCTGAAAAGAGCCAAGCAGCAGTATGGCAGGGTTAGAGATGCATGTGCTTTTATGAGAGGACAGCCATGTCTTCATTTATACTTGCATTGAGTAGAAACAGGATCATTCCCACAGCAACTATGTCAGCAGACTGTTAAGTGATGCCTATTGAATCTTCTCCATGTAGGTAAGTCCATTGCTATCACCACAGCTTAATTACTTGCTATGCAATTGTGTGGCCTATTTTAACTACTATTCTAAATGTACCATTTCAAAAGCCTTAGACTGCCGATGTATGGATGTCTCTGCCCTGGGAGAAGTGCCCAAAGTCTTGGCTGTATCAGTAGATATACACCACATTTTGCTCACCCACTTTTTAATTTGGTCCAGAAAGGGCATGTTAAGAGACCGCTAATAATATCTTCTTCCTTTCCTATAGGGACTATCTTGTTAAGAGCAAGCACTGATCACTCCTTAGGGAAGGGCCATTTCAGGCCCTCAATACATAGGCCTTGAACTATGAGCTCTTACCTACTGTCTCAAGTCAGGTAACTCCCCGTTCAAGCATTACATTTAATTTCCACACATCTACCCTAGGAAAGTCAGTCTTAAGACTTCAGGCATACCATGGTCTTGGAATCTTACCTGAACTCCATATGAGGAGAGCTGTTGGTAATGACATGCCATCCTTGAAATACCTGTTTCTTACCAAGACTCAAAACACGTACCAAACAATTTTGTTGAGCAACATTTAGTTTCCCTTAAGGGATACTTTCACAATTATCCTTTATTTGAGCAAGGGGTGGCAACATGGCAGCTACCCTTAATGATTTTATTTTTTGTCCTGTGCACAGGGGATTGAGAATCTTCATAATGGCTGTAGTCTGTCACGGGATTTAAAGACTGGACAATAACCCTCACCCAACAGAAAAGCCTCAGCAGACAAAGGTAATTGCCTCAATTTGTTCTCAAGTTGGCTGAGAAGAGGTTAGGGGCACTGAAAGTCAGAGGCAAGGCAGATAAACTAGACATCTACTCAGCAGTCTAATACTTTGTCCTTTTCACAGCCTGTGGTCCTTCTTTGTCCCTTGATACTGCAAGTACATGATTCAGCTTAAAGAGTTATTGCATGTAAATATTAACCTCAAATTAGAATCAGAGAGGCCAGGAGAGGACAAGAGAAGCTTTTACTGCCAAGTGCAATATAGCCTGTTAGGATGAAGCAGCAACCGGAAGAACACCAATAGTTCAAATGCTGAACATGCTTCCAAAAGGCAGATTCTTCCCTCCCCCTGACCTTCTTGAAGAGTTAGTCAAGTCCTTCTGATTAGGAGGTTGTATAAGGACCCACACAACGTATCCTTAGAAATATCGCTAGCCATCAAGTTCTTGACAGAAGAGCTGTTTTCAGAAGGCTGGTAAACAAGCAGTCCACCTGAGTGAATTCAAGACTTCAGTTTTCCAGACTGAGGAAATAGACTAAACAACAATACATGACTAGCAAGAGTCAAAGCTGTAAAGCCAGATACATTTACTAGTAATGGACTATCTTGACTAGCAGCATTCTACCCCTCATTAGAAGTATAATAGTGCATTTGTGTGAGCCCCTGTATGACTGACTGACATTTGGATCTAACAAATCCCTGTGTGCATAACTGACTATCCCATTTTCTGCCTAGTTCCTGCTGCAAGGGTAGTGCCCCAAGTAGCCTTGAGAAGCACTAGGCATGCATTAATAAATCAGAATGTGCTATTCAGACTTTTGCCTTTTGAACAGGGTCATTCATGCTCATGAGTCAAATAAAATATCATCTTAAGTGTTTTGTTTCATTACTAGAACACCCATTGCTCTAGCATCTGACTGTGTCTAACAGTTCAAGTTGAATAAACCTTCTGTAACGTGACAAGATTACTATGATTTAGATGGAAAATTCCAGCTGCTCGTTCTGAGGCAAGCACTACCATTAGTTTGCTTCCTCTATTAAAACAATCAAATTCATCTGTTGGGAACTAGCATAGTGACTAATATACGTGAAAGATACTAGCCTTACCTACAGGTCAGTTATACCTGACACGTATTGTTCACACTTAGACATAACAAGTACCTGCTTGAAGACAAGTGGTGGAAGAGTTCACAGGCAGCTTGGGAATTGTTCCCCTCCAGTTTATGCCATGTCTGGAATCAAGAGCAGCATCATTTGCCAGAAAGATGACCAAATACAGGCTCCTATACTGCTGAGTCTAACCCAAGCCCCTGTGGTTAGTCTTGTAAGAGACAGCTGAAAAGGATGTTGAACATACCTTGCCTGGTAAGTGAGGCTGTCTGTCATTCCCTTAATCAGTAAGGTCTAAATTAGTGATGTCCCCACCACTCAGTTTCTCCTGTGATTCCTTGATAGCAGGGAAACCTAGACAAGTGTTCTCAGCCTAAATTCAAAAAGCCTGTTTAACTGTTCTGTTTAGGCCATAGATACTGAGAAACATGATTTGTGGTTAAGAGATCATTTGCTTGGTATCATGGCCTGAGTTAATGCAGACACTTGGCCTGTTGGCCAGAATATGTCCAGATGAACAGGGTTTTACTTTAGAGAGCTTCTTTCATCCAACTTGCTTTATGCCTTGTTTGACATTCCATGCTCTCATCCAAGAGATGGATCAATACTTTGCTGAGGTATTAAGGCAGCCTTATGCCAAGGGCTTTCTCTGCCAACAGGAATACCCTTTTGGAATAAGCTACAACTGTACTTACGTATTGCAGGATACAGCACATAGTCCAGCTGTCTTGATCATACACAACCAGTAATGAGAAACAGAGAAGGGTGGCATTCATCTACTTAGTGGCATAGAAGTATGGTAATGGACACATCAGGGAATACCTCCTTCATGCTGCTCCCTTCCCCTAGTACCAACTGCAAAGTAGATAAAGATCTTAGTACTCTAATCAGTCATGTCAGCTACAGATGTTGGCATGCAGCATTGCTGGTGCAGGATCATGCCTGTGACATGACCCAGACATCTTACCATTTCAGTCAGTTTGCCAACTGCTGTATCATCAGTTGAACAGAACAGTCTGTTCTCATCGTATCAGTGCATCAGTCTCCTCTGAGCTGTTTGGGTTTTAGCAAGAACATAGAAATTCAAACTAAGTTCCCAAAAGCATTTTCTGCACACTTGAATCACTGGAGTCACAGCCAAGTGAACATCACTAAGTTAGCAGCTGAACTGAACAACCTGTTCAGTTCAAGCAGTGCAATTGCACCAGTACTTTTTGCCATTATATCACGCTTTTGAGCACACAATTTCTAATGAGATAATTAGTTACTTCTCAACCCAGCTACCACAGTAGCCCAATTTTGATTTTTCATCTACTCGTCATGGGAATAAATACAGCTGTTGCTGTATTTAGAACAGAGGGCTCAGGAGAATTCATGACCAGTTTAAACAAGATGTACCTGACTAACAACTTGGAAAGATATAAGTTAGCAACTATTGCCCTCTACTTACTTTAAAGGAAGAATGTGAAATGCTTTTCATGAGCTAGTGCTATCTGGTTCCCTGAAGGCTTCATCTCAAGCTGAAGGGGACTAGCACTGTCATAGTCTGTTTGGTAGAGTTATTCCTCAGCCAGAAGCTTCAGTGTCCAAAGGTAGTGTCCAGACACCTAGTTAGTCCATCCCAAATTATGATTTGTTCCAGGAATAATGCAGCATATCACATCAAGTCTTGGTAACAGCCTTTCCAACCTCTGTTCAGCATTTAGCATTCCAACCTACTAGTTCGTTTCCTATATTAGGAGACCACTCCACTCTTAGTACCAGCATCTGAACTCCAGATTCTTCTTTTAGAAAGAGATTGATAGATATCCCAGTATGCTCTTTCTTGATAGAGAGCTATTCAGTTGGTAACACAGGCTTATTATTAGATTATCCACAAGAAGTTTCTTCATATCAGTCTTCCAGAAAAACAGCATGCTTTGCACTCCTCTACACCACTCTCTCCAGTTTCCAGTGCTGAAGCCTCACAAATCAGTGGCTTCTGAGCTAGAGTTCAGTTGTCTGTTCTAGCTACTGCTCAGGAAAGCATCACCTGCCTACTCACAGATAAGGAGTCTTAGGCCATGTACCTGCAGTGCATACCACTCAGTCTTCTGTCAGTACTACTTGTTGAGACTCACTGGATATACCAAACAACCTGGAAGCAAAACAGTTGTTAATCAAGGCAGCTCATGTTTACTCAGATGCAAACTAGCTTGAACTAGACAGTGGCTCAAACACTGCATTTCCAACTGTATGCCTAACTCCCTCCTGCCTGGAAGGACTGTTTCTGATCTTCTTGCTAGTTAGTACAGCAAAGGACTCCTGCCAATAGCTATGCTTTACACCCCCTTCCTCAGAGCAGGGACTTGACACATATTGAAGCTGTTATCATAGGTTATTTCAGCTGCATGCTGTTAACTGTCCAGTGCTGGCAGAGTTATCCCTCTTTACAGTCTGGGTGTGTGCAAGCTGTACTGAGAGAGATTGCGTATGTTCTGCATAGCCTGTGCTGAACTGTGTTTTCTACCTGTTCACAAACGTATCTGTATGAGCAACAGGATTTTGCTGTGTGTTATTCTTGTGTTCAACAAACCTAAACCCACATAGTTATGGCCACAGTGAGAAGTACTGCAGTTTGCTTACCCAGCTTGATGACCTACAGCAGTTTCAGTCCTTGGTTAAGTGTTATGAAGCATACTGCTTAATACAAGGGCTACACTTGCCTTCAGGATTAGTCATTACCAAGGGTCCCAGCTTGCCCTTGTATATGCAGCAAGAAAGGCAATGAATAACTAAAGACAGATCTAAAAAGGTGGAACAGAAAGATCTATACCAGAGGTAAAAAAACGATAAACCAGGATTAACCAGAGAGCCACTGCAGCTCCCCCAGTTAATAGCTTATTTAACAGCTAGTCAACATTCACAGACTATTCTGCACTAAGTTTTCCTATTGGTAACTGTAGTTAGACATTAGTTATGTACATTAGAGGAAGTTTACATTATTGCTCCTAAGTCCAGACGATAAAGTAACCCTGACCAGGTTCTCTCTAGTTTTCCATCTCTCTGATGGTCTTAATATGGTATCATTGGGATGCTCCCATCCATCAGAAGCATGCAAGGACAAGCAACAGCCTACCATCCTGCTCTAGAGTCTACCTTCAATCAGCCAGGCTAGCAGCTGTTTGCAGATAGGTCTGCTATTCAAGCTACTAGAAGACTAGTGACCTTTGTGCCCTCCCTTAAAGCACAAATAACCCTGTTCTGGGAGAGCACAGAAGAAGATGTCTGTAAGGTAGAAACACATCTTGCAATATTAACACTATGTCATTAGTGTTCCCAACTTGTCTTGTCCCTTCCTAGGAAGCAAGTCTCATCTATAGGCATTTTAGCCATAGGGCAGGTGTATGAGAATTCTCAGAGGAGGACACTTGCTGTTGTGAGACACAACAGCATTAAGAGTTGGGTACACTTTGCTGGAGGAGCTAGTTCCTAGCTGACCATCATGAAGCCTCCTGACTGCCAAGGTAAAGGTCTATCATCCTGTCTCTGAGACCTACTTGTTCTGTTCAAGAGATTATCTGCATTAAGTATTTCACCTCTCATCTTCTTGCTTGAGGATGCAACATGAACTGACAGAGCAGCAGGAAATTCAGCTTCAAGGCCAATAGCCTATCCTTAACTGGCCCTGTAATATCTGAGCTTTGAGATTAAAAGTTACATGCACTAGCTACGAAGCTTTCTAAGAAGCTTTAAAAAAAAAAAAAGCAACCCACAGATAGTTGGGAATAAAGGTCTGCCAGGCATTTCAGCTGAAACACTTTATCCTCAAGCACTCCATAGCATAGGCAAGGCAACATCCTTTTCAGGAGAGGGGAAACTGGAATGGCCTATGCCCCCACCAACCAGGGCTGACAAGAATTAGGCAGGAGAAGATTCTTTGTTCAGCACTCAGCTGCCCACATTGTAGAAGCAAGCTAACCCTGCTGAAACTGGTACCTCTTGTTTATTGACTAGGCCTTCCACTATGCTTCATCCAGCTTCTTTTTAACCCTGAGACCCTTGAACCCAGATACAGCAGCCTCAAAACCAGGTTCTAAAGTCACTTTGTTTTGTCAGACATGGCACTTAGACACCTTACTCTATTTGATCCTTGTAACACAACCCCCAGTTGTATTTCTGTGGAGTCCATGCTGAGGTAGAACAGTAATGGCTTATGCTTGATTATGTTAACAGCAGAAGGCTCACCAAGACCTCTTAGCATTCCTCTTCCCCTCCCCCGAAGGTAGAGTCTTGATTCTACTAATAATCCCTTAGTCTGCATGAAAGATCTAGGTTTTTCTCCAAAATCCTTGCATATTACAAGTTACCTTCATGCTCTCTCTTCATCATTTCATTTGACAGAATCTAGCCAGCAAGCAGGATCTGCACCATCCTTACTGTTTCCAGAACAAGCTGGCTTTCTCTGGATGTGGAATTTATTGCTTCATTGTCCAAGCAAATTCATGCTTCTGTAGTGCTCACATATTGCTAGTCTTGCTGGATAAAGTCCACAAACATTCCCAAGAACCAGGTTAACCCAGCAGGTCACACAAATATCCTAGAAGTATAAAGTTCACCAGGAGAGAAGAGCATCAATAGGAGAGAAAAATCTGTATGTTTGGCAACAATACTCAATGACTACAGTATATAATGCACTTCCATTTACCTCGTATCTCAAGCTATGGTTTTTATTCTAAACATCCTGTCCAGACACTAGCCCTTGATTCCCCCTTCCTTGACACTAAGTACATTTATTTGCTTTCCCACAGAGACAGAAACCTAGGAGCTCTTTTTGCCACCCTTCACATATATTATAATTGCCTATTTAGAGTGCTTCTTTCCATATCTGCTTGTGAAGTAAAGGCCTTAAGCCATAAGAATATACATAGTGGCTACTGGTCTGCAGTGTCCAATAACAGAGTGATGCAGGCACTTTGACAAGCAATACTCTTCTCAGTGAGAAAGTGGGCTGCATACTGCAGATGTATAGAGGTGCTTAGGAGAAGGTACATGTTAGAATGGAGTATCATCTCTACCTTCACAAAATGAAACTGTTGTCATTTGGCCCATCCTTCCAACTGATTGTGCTGGGCACAAGCTGTGGTGCTCAGACAACACCTTTGTTTGTTGTAAGAGCACAAGAGATGAGAAGCATCCTAAGTCACAGGACTATCAGAGTCATGCTCATCATCCTCCCAGTCCCCTGTCTGTAGTGACAGGCACACAAGATCTGTTAGATTCCCCTCAGCAGAACCATCCCTTCATTTAAGACTTGGAGCACCTCGAATTCACTCCACTTTACCCTGAGCCTTTGTATACTCCAAGTCAAGAGGTTTGCTAGTTAAACTTCTGTTCTGATGGTTCACCTGACATTCATTTAGCACTCTCATCCTCCTTACTATTTCTACCACTTGGTTCTCCTCCAAATGCAGACTCTAGTGAGTTACTATTAATAGAAATTTCTGCTTTAGACTTGACCACATCCTCAGGCCATTCAGAGAATTTTGGAAACCTGATTATGCCTCAAGAACCATTCTGTTGGATGGAACTGCAGTGATTCTTTGAACTGACATGGTGCATAACTCCCTCAGACAATCCCCTTCTCAGCTGAAGAGATTTTCTTTGGATTCCGATTTGCCTCTCCAGTTAGTCACCTACTGCCTCACCCACCTCCTGGGAGGTTCTAACGGAAGCTGATCTGAAGACCTGCTAGCGTTATAACTGCTCAACAGGTCACTACCAGACACAAAGACATATTTTCAATCTACCAGTGCCTGGTAAGTCTTCACAGCCAGCTAGAATACATAGCTTCATGATTACTTTTCTCTAATTGAATCCACATCTCTATTTTGCCTATCTACACAGGTGTTCCTGTCCCTAAGCATACTTACACACATCCCTTAGCATACAATGGGCATGCTCTCAGATTTTATTTATGGAAGTTACAGAAGACTTCTAAGGCAAAAATGTAGCATTTTAAGGCAAGCTACTTTAATTAAGGGAAGGTTAAAACAATTCCTCCTCCTGCCCCCCCCCCCCCCCCCAAAAAAAAAAAAAAAAAAGAAAAAAGTTAATCCTACTTTGCCAGTGGATTAGCATGCTTCCCTAAAAAGGGCTCAAGTAACCAGCCTCATCTTATTAGAGGGGTAGAAGCTCTGCTACGGAGAAGTCCAGCTGTATTGGCAACACCTGCATTTACCTCACTGCTCAGAGCACAGGCACTACCCCAACGTAAGTGTCACCATACCATGATCATCAGGCTTTAAGTCTCACCAGCTGAGAAGTCAGCTTCTCTGACCAGGCAGAAGGCTCATTCCAGTTAATCCCGGATGTCTTTATACCCATTTACCACAGACACAGTAGCAGCCCGAGATTCACCAGCAGACAGCAGGGTGCCCAGCGAGGATGCTCCAACTAAAAGCAAAACAAAACCCCACCCCTGCTTCACAGCATCCCAACCCTCTCCTCCCCTCTGCTACTACAGATGCTTTCGTATCAGTCATTTATGTGAAATTTAGCGTTTGTGTACTTTTCCCGCCCCCCTTAATTGCCCCCTCTCCGCACACAGGAACGGGAGCGCACGTTTATTTCTCTTCGAGCGCCGGCC